ATTTTTGACCTTTTTTGACATTGAGAAGGTCATTGAAGGTCAAATGTCAAATCTAAAGTCAGATTTGAATTTCTGAGAACATGTAGATGATTTTGAAAAAAAAATTAGTCAATTTGAAGCAAGTTGAAAAAATACCTTTTTGACCTTTTTTGACTTTGAGAAGGTCAAATGTCAAATCTTAAGTCAAATCTAATGTCAGATTTGAATTTCTGAGAACACGTATATGATTTTGAAAATTTTTTTTAGTCAATTTGAAGCAAGTTGAAAACAGACCTTTTTGACCTTTTTTGACCTTGAGAAGGTCATTGAAGGTCAAATATCAAATCTTAAGTCAAATCTTAAGTCGGATTTGAATTTCTGAGAACACGTAGATGATTTTGAAAAAAAAATTTAGTCAATTTGAAGCAAGTTGAAAACAGACCTTTTTGACCTTTTTTGACCTTGAGAAGGTCATTGAAGGTCAAATGTCAAATCTAAAGTCAGATTTGAAGGTCAAATGTCAAATCTAAAGTCAGATTTGAATTTCTGAGAACATGTAGATGATTTTGAAAAGAAATTTAGTCAATGTGAAGCAAGTTGAAAAAAGACCTTTTTGACCTTGAGAAGGTCATTGAAGGTCAAATGTCAAATCTAAAGTCAGATTTGAACTTCTGAGAACATGTAAATGATTTAGAAAAAAATTGAAGTCAGTCTAAACAGTATTTGTTAAGTTATAGGAAGTTGTAAGAAATTGTTACAGACGCCGGACTCCAGACGCCGGACGCCGGACGCCGGACGCCAACCACCAACCGCCGTCGCAAAAAACGGAGACCATAACAATATGTCACCACTTTTGGTGGTGACATAAAAACTGTAATAATTTTCTAGGACAACCAAAGGAGAGGACTTGGAATAGGCGAAAGCCTTTTGTCCAATCCATTTCGTCAAATTGTATTAATATAATGTATGTAAAATATATATAGACGAATAAAATATCTTTAATTAAAATGTATACATGGTGGACATTTAGCAAAAATAGAACTCCACTTGTCACTTGCTTATTTTCACAAAAGATGATCTTGTTTTTCTCAATTTAAACATATCGGAAGTCTCCTCTACACTATATTAACAATTTCTGAAAAGGGGTGGGTATTGAAATTAGTTAACGTTAAAAACCACATATCTCATGCTATCCATTGTTTCCAGCATAATTTTGGTCATTGAAAATTGATATCTTCAAAACTAGCCTTTCAAGTTTCAATACCATTCTATTTTTGAACATGTCTTAGACCCCTTGTTGAATAATGTTTTCATGCAATAAAAATCAGAAAAAGACGATCCTATTTTGAGTAAATAGGTTTAGAATTTTGAAAAAAATGTTGACATGGGGTCCCTATTTATGATTTTTCGAATTGTTTGATTTATATTTTTATCATCATGGGTACTTCACTTGAAATAAAACATATTGTTTTAATAGAAACCACTGTATTTATGCCCAGAAAGTACTCATGGTGAAAGATATGACCTTCTAAAATCACTTGCCATACTGCACCTGGTCCTTTGAAAACAAATGGTTTTAATATAGTATTAAGACTACCGTGGATATTTTTAAAAAAAACTTTCGTATGATTCATTTATAATAGAAAAACGATCTTTCGGACTATAGAGCATTCAATGACTCCTCTAAACGCAGTCTTGCGAATAGTACTTGAGTAAAATTTGCTCCAATTAGTATATGTACGTTGTACATCGCCGTTGTGCTCGTATGTGAAAGTATCCCTGCTTCGGAAGCATGCGCAGATGTGCTTCGGTTCGCATGTTTACGTTCCTAATCGTCAGAATTGACAATTTATCATATGTGAGCGGGCCTTCACACCTGTACTTAGTACATGGGACGTACTTCCGTTAATTTACTCATTCGCTAAACATATAATGAATGACATTAACATGATACATCACTAAAGTGATACTAATTCAAACAAATATTTGTGTATGATACATATGCTTTTATAATAATCTATTTCAAAAAGTTTATTATCATTCTGCTCTGGGAGACTTCACTAGCTCCTCGGACTTACTAAGAAATATTTTTTTAAAACTATAGTTTTTACAATCAGAACGGAGACGCCCAAATTTGCAGAAAGGGACGATGGCAAACATACAAAGCTGGTTTCAGAAGCCAGCTTCGGGAGTCACTAAGAAGCCGGCTTTTAAAAAGCCGGCTTCGAGAGTCTCCAAGAAGCCAGTTTTTAAAAGCAGGCTTCTGATGTACGAGAAACAAAAGCAAGTTTTTAAAAGCCGGCTTTTAACGTACTAGAAAAGCTATCTTCTGTAATCACCAAGAGACCGGATTCTGGAAAACCAGTTTGAAACCTAGCTTTCAAGTTTGGAAACAACAGTTAAGCAAAATATACTTTTTGATTAATATAATTTTTTATCATATACCTAAAATCTCAACATATTAAAAGTGTCTGCAATATTTCATTTTATTCAAAAACTATAACTGTGAATTACATTAAAAATCATAAACAACGATGAAATGGCTCACATGCAACAGATTATGCATTGTATTTCTGCTTAATAAAAACGCACCGTTTATTTTTCAAAACCAGCCCCAAATTGAAGCCAGTTTACAAATCAGCTCGCTCCATATAACACAAGCTATTTAGGGACAATCTAGAAACTGAGAATCACAGGATACTGTCTCCCGATCATTTCTATGTGCATTATGCATCTTATTCTTTTACAATTTGTATGAAAATTTTAAAAAACTGAAAAAAGTAAAATCTTAACATATTTAAATTTTTGTAATTTATGTTTTAGTTGTTTTATGTCAAAATTATGAGAGTGTAAATTGCATTTTTGTGCGTTTTTAATCAACAGAAATACGATGCATAATCTAATCTGAATTGATGAATGTGATCTAATTCATAAATTGTCATGCTTAGAATGCAATTTACACTCATAGTTTTGGCACAAAACGACTTTTTTAAACCTGCCTTCTGAGGAAAATATACGATTAAAACACTTTTCATTGAAAAGCACATAGGGCGATATTGGCAAAATGTAAATGCTATTTTGGTTCGTTCTGGGCTAGCAATGGGTACATTTCGACTATGACTGTAATGGATTACTATTGACTTTTATCAACATCACAGGGACCGCTGACAGATTATAATTTTGAACCAAAGATTATATTTTTGGCGGTCTCAGTAAATCAATGAGGTAATCAGGTCCTACGTGCTTTTTTCAGGCCCAGAAATCAATGCTCGCTTATAAATGTAGCAAAATCTTTTTTCGTTCGTGGGATATTTTTTCACCATATAACCGAACGGGAAGTTTTTGAATAGGACTCGGGATCTGAATGGATGCGAGGATTCGATGGGCTGGGATTTGAGAAATTATGATTTTAACTTTGCCAATTTTACATGTATTCCAATGGGTGAAAAAGTAAGTTGCTTTCTACCATAATCATATTTTCATCGCGCACTGAATGAATTATAAAGGCCGCGTTGTGCAAAGTGAATTAAATAAATAAAGTGCGCAGAAATCGATCTGACTGGGTCGCGGTGTGCGTAATCCACGGTGTTATAGCATGACGGTTACAACAAGGCGATTTGCAAATTTTTGCGGTAACGATAACAAAAAATGGCGGATGGGAGAGACAGCATGTCCTCTTTCTCGCCTGTAGGCAAGATTCACAGATAAGATTTCCTTTTCAACTAGTTCCATTCGGTGACGTATATATGGATGGTTATAAAGACTGGGTCAAATCTGCCAGGTGGTTTACCAGAAGCGGAATATATGCTGTAAACTTACCGACTGAGATGTCCAAGTTCATATTTTTTAGTCCATTCTCGTGATTTCTCAGTATGTGTGCCTCAGAACTACTCAAACTATTAACAGTAAGTAAACTGTGTATAAACAAGCCATAAAATGACAAATCCAGAACAAGAACGTGGTCATATTGTGAATAATAAGGTTTCAAACGCAATGTCATTAGACGACTACGTATGAATTCTATAGACGGTAACGTATTTTATTAGATGTACATTAGATATTTAGCGGACGGTTACGTGCATGTACATCTTTCAAGTTAAGGTTCTGATAGCCTCTTTCCATATATTTGTTATAATGGGTAAGAAATGGAATATTGAATTCATTTGCTTATATTTGTTTTCAGGACTCGCAAGAGACGCTCTTGTTTGAGCCTCTATAGGGCAAGGAAAATATTGTGTCTTGCTTTATTTATGAAACCAATTTCAGTCAAAAAGATAGCAATGAAGAGGCAAAAGAAGAATTAGCATCTGGTACTGATGAATATGACAAAATTTATAACAATGGATCTGTGATACATATTTGAACGAGGTTCGCGTAACCGTCGATCATTTTTGAACATATTAGGTGGTTTCCAATGCTCAATTGGCTTTTTATGATCGTATGTAGGTTAAATCTATATACCCCGAGGTCGTTAGGCAATGTAGACCATGCCCTATCGACAAAAATTAACAAATTACTAAATTTTGTGTAGTTTTGAATTTCAAGCTCAACAGTTTTTCGCTTATCTTCATGGGTTGATAACGTAATTACTAGTTTTAGGCTGCGCAAGAGCTGGTTTGACTACTGTTTTTTTCAATGGGGCTTCACATAAGTCACTATGGGTGTATTTTTTGTATGACCGCAGAGCAAGTGAATTGGATTGATTTCTATGGGCATTGGTTGTTTTCAATAAACTATATAACATATTACTATAAAGCAAGGACGTCTAGAAGTCCTTGTATATAGTAATGACGATTATACACATACATAAATTATCAATTCAATAATTCTAGTGTTTGATCTATGAAAACTTTACAATTCCAATTGTAAAGTCACTTGTCGTAATAAATAATTTTGACATCTATGTTCATTTACTGAATGATGTATCTGTTAGTTCAATGTCGAATGTTTAACAATGCAAACAGATATGAGTATAAAAAAGCAAACAATTAATTGAAATGAATAATTTTTATGCGTCAAAGCACATCCGCTAAATGATGTTCTTTGATTGCACTTAAAAGCACTATATGTGTTAATAGTTCTGTTACTTGTTAGACTCATACTGACTACAGTCGAGTGAACATGAATTTTGTCATTTTCTGCCTCATTCTAATGGTTACTTTTGGAGTTTGCGTTGGGATTCCGGCCTCTCTCAAATTGCATCGTAAGTTTTTGAACCTAAGGTATTTTATCAACTGACGGAGCTGATTTTAAACGCAAACAGTACCATAGGTTGATGTAATTTAAAATTCACATATAGATAGGCAAGGTCGTGTCCTTTCAGGCGTTGTTTCTTAAAATTAACACTCGATGCAACGCATCTCGTGCATATTGTCGAAAGCAACATCTTCAAGGAATGGTAATTCTTCAGTCCAGGACTTAAATTTGCTGAAAAAACTTCCGGCTTTCGGGTCGAAAAATGTCTTTCATCACAAGGGGTCAAAACACGTAAATATTTTGATTCGAACTTTTATACATTTTATAAGACCGTTATTTTAAGCGAACCAACAAAATAGATTATCACAATGTAAAAACATACTATTATTTTACTGTAGATGTTAGTGTTTAATTAGTGTAATTACGCAAGATTTTGTTTGATTTTTCAAATATGAGCCGAGCAAATTCAACAAAATTGTGTGGAATATTTACTAAGGTAATTTATGATTGGGAACACATTAGTTTTCTTACCATTTCAAACATTTTATCACCAGAATATCTCCATATAATCGCAAGGGGTCAAACAACAAATTATTGTCCATGTTTTATAAAACATAATACAGTAACAAATAGGTAAGATATATATGTCTAATTAAATGTTATAGAGGTATTGGAATGTTCATATATTCCAAGGACATGTCTAATATTCAATAAGAGTCATAATCAATCGAACTCCTTGCAATTCTTCCCCAACGTTACTGCTGGATATCATCAAGTTTTCTGATGGTTGTTTCTTCTTTGACCTCACCGCTTGATACAATCAAATTTAGGAAGATAATGATATAACGATTTTTCTCAATTATTCATGAATATCCTAGATGTGAGTAGAAATAATTTTGATTTACGTCATTAAAAATTCAAAATTCAGTCAAACTGATGTAATATTTGGAATCTACATGTAAAATTACATCTAGAAATATGGTTTTGAAAAGAGATTATCAACTTTGAAAATCTAATTTTCTTTGAAAATGTGACGTCTAGGTCGGGGAGATTCCCCATAGCCCCCATGTTCACTGGGGAGTATCGTGATGCAACAACACCGTGTTGTTGCATCAAGATGGCCAGACTTCCGGTGATAGATTTTCGTACGATATTTTGTTTCCCCAATTAAACCCATTTCTAGGACGAGTTGCTCAATAACCATACACGTGCAGTTAGCGCACGATCTATATTTAAAGAAACTGTCATTAGTATACATGTACCATCACCAAGAGGCAATAAGTTCACGGTTTTAGTTCCTCACTATTGATGCAACAACACCAAACCGAAGATGCAACAACACCCCTCTAGATTTGAGCAATGATGCAGCAACACCAATTAATAGTATAATTTCAGAACACCATAAATCTCGAGAGGAACAGAATTTTAAATGCTACTATTGCAACAACGTTATCAATTAGCCTACCCATATTTGCGTTCTTCTCAAGGCATTCAAAATACACGACTAATTCATGATGAGCTATTGGAAATTATCATGATATTATCTGTAATCCATCCTTGGAACAGTGATAAACTAGAAGATGTACGTAACCACTGTTTATCAAATTATAACTAAAACAGTTTAACTGTGATATTCGTGAGTTTATGTTGATGGGATGATTGCTTCATCTATGATATAATATGATATGATTCTTTATTTCCTCCAATTTGGAGAGCCAACGTGTAAAAATGTCTAATTGACTTTATTAGAGAGGCCGTTTAGTTACACGTTTAATGGAAATCTTGCACGACGCACATGTAGAATTATTGCTCACTTTGGATTCCTTCTCTCCGACTGAGTAAAAAGGTAAACAAAAGGGAACAAAAAGATTTAGGGCCCAAAAAGGTAAATTGATAGGGGTACAGTTATCCCAGATATCCCGGGCCCTCGGGAAATATCATATTGTCTCTCGAAATAAAACCAATATTGAATCCCTCTCAGTAAATAACCTTTATATAATAGCATTGTATAACTGCAATGTCACTAAACCAACACTCATCCTATACAACTCTTGAGAACGATGTACAACTCCTGGATAGCGTAAACTCCTGAGCAGCGTATACAACTCTTCAGCTTGATATATGACATCATACTTTGGGTGGGATAACAAAGGATATACAATATACAATTGTAGACCTCTCTTGAGGTCAACTGGCAAAATTGTATACCGATACTGTAATCCTTGAAAGTTCGGAGGTCGAGGTCAACAGTACTCTCAGGGTTTACTGTTGAGGTATACACTTTGGCCAGTTGACCGAATAGAGAAGTTAACAATTATTTGTTAGTCCGAAGAATATAATAATTTGAAGGATATAATATACAATTGTAGACCTCTCTTAAGGTCAACTGGCAAAATTGTATACCGATACTGTAAACCTTGAAAGTACTGTTGATCAAGACCAGAGGTCGAGGACACTTTTGCCAGTTGACCGAAAAGAGAGGTTAACAATTGTTCTGTTAGTCCAAATAATATAATAATTGGACGAATATATAATCGAATATCACGTGAACATATTTGATAAAGGTATCATATTTTAGAAAAAAATCCCCAAACCGTCGAATACTTGTAATTTTTTACACAACTTATTTTTTGAAAATTAAAAAAATTTCAACATTAAAAAAACAATTTTTCAAAAATAAGGGTCAACAGTACCTAGTAGTGGTCAACAGTTTACAATTGTTGACCTCCCCAGAGGCCAACCGGCAAAATTGTATACCGAGACTGTAAACCGAAAAACTACTGTTGACAGAGACCGACGGTCGAGGTCAACAGTAGTTTCAAGGTTTACAGTCGAGGTATATGATTTTGACGGTTGATCGAATGGAGAGGTCTACAATTGTTTTGTTAGTCCGAGTAAACTCATACGAGAGACGACAATCATCAATCTTCATTTCACAACCTTTTCTCCGAACCACGTTAGCAATATTTCTTTTAGAATATATGGAGACAGTGCAAGTAGCTTAACTCTGTATTTGGCACATCACGGCGTACTCGTTAGTGAATTAATGTTAATTTTAAGTTTCTATTTGTATTTTTGCCTATACTTGTCGCCTAGTAAAGTCATTTTCATCAACGTTTACAAAATGTCCGTCTTCCATGTTTTTTGTGACGTCATGAAACTTTTTTTCAGAAGTAGCGGTCAACAGTACCTAGTAGCGGTCAACAGTACATAATTTTGACCGCTAATCACCCAATCAGAATCGAATATTTCAGTGAATTGAGTATTTCAATTGAGGTACTAACAACACAAAATGACTGATATCTGTTGTCTTTCCAAAATTATATTAGTTATTTGTAAGCAATTTCCATACGGTAAATCAAGGGTATTTAATTTAGAAAATGTATAATCTTTATTTTTCAGATACAATATCAATGAGATTGCCTCCCGGGGATTCTGTACTTTATTTAGTTTGCCTTGTATATCCTTTTAACTTTGATATAGACAAAGAAACCAAACAAAATACGTTTCGTTCATGGACCACTGACTCACGCGTTTTATTCATGTCCCGACCTACACCTGTAAACAGAACATAAAATAGTTTCTCTTGTTGTTCAATGATACATTATATTGGCGTTTTTGCATCAGCACATTGGTGTTGTTGCATCATCGATAGGAAACAGAGTGGTGTTGTTGCATCAATAGTGAGGAATTAAAACCACGAATTTATCGCTTCTTGATGATGCTACATGTATACCAATGACAGTTTTTTAAAATATAGATCATGCGCTAACTGCATGTGTATGATTATTGAGCAACTCGTCCTAGAAATGGGTTTAAATTGGGAAAACAAAACATCGTACGAAAATCTATCACCGGAAGTCTGGCCATCTTGATGCAACAACACGGTGTTGTTGCATCACGATACCCCCCAGTGATGTTGTAAAATCACAAAAATGGAAATATCTTTTCTTGTGTTGGGCAGATTATATTTTCTTTTACTGGACATATTTTAATTTGTATAACTATTAGACACATAAGAGTAATATGAAAAGTGAACCACTAAAACTGATGAACATTCAAGTTTAAGGGAATATTGCAATACCCTGCCATGTTATTTCCCCCGAATCAGCCACCTGTGGCGAAACTGGTAACTACCTACTCGCATCTGAGTAATTCGACCAAGTCTTGATAGTTGTTTTATAAGCAACTGAGCTATATCTAACTACGAGAAATAGGATTTTAGCTGTAGTTCCAATTAGTCAAGGAAGAGCAATAGGCCCTACTTTATTGATAATGTTCACCGCTGAATAAAAATCCATATCTCAAAACGTATTGAGACCCATTTTGTGAAAAACTAGCATTGTTTAAGCATTTGTCATTCTAATTTAAAAGTGATTCATTGGTAGCATTTATCTTATTGATACCTGAGAAACAATACAAAACGTCGATACACTGATTACATAATTGTTTGGTAATGATTAGACAAATATCCTAAAACTTATAGCTTTGAAACCTAAGTCATATATTTAAAATCATTTTGCATTGTTTTCTGTTACTATTATTATTATATTTATCTATTTTCCCTCCATTATTGGAGATAATTAATAATATTGTCTGACAAAAATATAATGAATATAAAAATATAAAATCTAATATAAGATTTGGATGTCGACACAAGGAACGCTGAATTCATGACCCATCTTCTCCACTCAGGCGGACATCTTCTCCAAGGTCGATGCTTCCCTCGTTGAGAAGTGGGCCATATTTAAAATATCATTCTGACTTCTGTCGTACTTGTTGAAATGGTTAAAACAATAAAATATGATATCACATAAATGCATCTCGTTGCCAATTACATTGCATACTTCCCTTCGCCATTGCAGGAAATTTACTTCTTCCAAATAGTACTACGAGGGGTGTATAAGTTTCAAGAGAAAATAATATATTTGAGCTACTTTTCTAAATAGTTTTTAATACCTGGTCGCGGCCACCCGGAACGGTATTTGAATATAGCAAATCACATCACAACTGTTATAATATGGCAAATACTTTAGGTGCAGGTGCACAACCTAACACCAGTCATGATATGAGAGAATTTTCAATCTGAGTGTCATCTGCCATCATCATCTTCACACATTAAGACCTACTTTTCAACATATTTTCCACGAATTTGAACACATTTTTTTTTTGAACACATACCGTTCCGGGTGGCAGGGTCCCTATATTAAAAACTCTCTAGAAAACTACATCAAATATATAATTTCTCCATGAAATTAACACACAAAGTAGTGAGGTTGTTGGTCTTTATTATTGGAAAGTTTAAAGTAATTTTATCAAAAACCAACAAAATTAGAGCAGGGCGTCCAAGACTTTTGGATCACCCCTCGTATATACAAAATACAATAGATATTATGTTCATGGCCATTATTGCCTTTTTCATATATCAAAGGTCGTGTTATAACGTACTGTCATCGGCGTAAATTATGTATAAAATATAGATTTAATGCTCCTAGGTGCCAATCACATGTCAAACTACTCCCCTGCCCTTGCAATATACATCCTCTGAACGTCTGTAGAAATTAGTTTTAAATCATCTACATGTAGGTTACAGTTACTGTAGTTCCTCCAAAACATATCTTCATCTGCATCGCTCTGGATAAAGGTGGGCCATTAGATACTCTATTAAGAATCCACCGAATGTTGCCTCGTAATTGCTCGTATCTCTCACATACATGGTACTCCAAATTGTGAAAATTGGAATTTTATTTTTAAGTAATTTTTTTACCTCTGTTGATGGCAGGTATAATTCAGCCTAAAAGCCGAAAGTATATTAAACGATTATAATAAAAGTTATAAGGGGACATATGTAGGTAATGTATGTTAATATTAGGTCAAATATTGCTGCGCTATAGTGTGCTAACAGCTCCTTTATTAGACGTCCTAGAGATTCCATACCATGGACTATAAAGGGTGTTCCAAAAGTAACAGGACTGGTGCTTGCATTTTGTCAATATTGTATTGAGTGTCTTCAAATTTTCACAAATTGTACTCGGAAGTATTGCAACTAAAATTGTAAAGTTTCAGAAAAAATGTTGAAATGACATCCCAATACCCGGGGCAACTTTTTTTCCTGAAAATGCGATATCTAACATGTTTGTATTACTGAAGAAAGTATCTAATTCACCTATTATAATACAACATTTCTTGTTTATTCTATTAGTTGCTTTGTTGTAAAGATGTTGCTATACAACTTAGATTCAAGTATAATTTCATAATGATAATAATATTTATTCAATTTCCTGGAATATCACTATGTATAACAGTCTGAACAATTCACGGTTGATTTTTTGAAAAGACCCAATTTGAAGCCAGTCATCCACCTTGATAGCGCGCCTGCCCGCAGGTCACCATTAAAGACCATGCAGCTATAGAGGAGCTAGGTCTTGAGGTCTAAAGCCATACCCCATACTCCTCTGATCATGCAATATCTAATTTTTACTTATATTGAGAACGGAATGCTAATTAGTGCTGTAAGACATTTAAAGATGAGAATGACCTTCTCCAAATTGTCCAATCGACCCTGCGTGACATGTCCTCAAATGGGTTCACTCATGTGTTTGGGTCATGGATACAGAGTACTACTCTTGTACTGACCAAAGAGGAGCCTATTTTTTTAAAGTAGAGGATACATAGGAATATCAAATGATCTAAAACAAATGTAATATTCCCACCAGTTGTTGCATTTCAACTTTGATATTACATGTACAAAATGATATGGGATGTACAAATTGCTTCATGTCTCTGTAACTCTTTACGTGGAATGTTTCCCCGGGTATTGCGATGTCATGTTACTATAGCAACCATAACTCTACCCAAGATTCATATATTTTGTTGAAATTTTGCAGTCTTAGTATCGACCAATGAAAGTACACTATGTTAAGTTTTGAAGACGATTAGTGCATATTTAACAAAGTGCCAGCACCAGTCCTGTTACTTCTGGACACCCTGTATATACGAAGTGACCGGATCAAACATTCGGATCAAACACGATCCTTTATCTAATGATCACTGATTGACAACAATTTAATGCGTGAATTATTTACATAATCGGTTTATGTTTTTAATGCAATTGTTTTTTGTTCCTTCCTACCAATTCCTGAGAATGAAATAAAATATCTATCCGAACCTTTTTGAAACAAAATAACAAATACAAAATTTTCTTAGATCTCTCACAATAACATAAAGGAAAGTTGGATTCATTTAAAAGAAGTATCCAAAAAATTAAAACAAAATAGATAAAATTAAATTAGACCTTTTATGTTATCAACAAGATACTTATTTTAATTGAATCCAACTTTCCTTTGTACAATTACAATATTTAGAGACCTAAAACGTTGTGTATGTATTGGCATAATGCACAATTTTGTTGATAACGTTATGTTTATGTTACTATCATTCGTTATTTTAGCCAAGTTTAAATACGCAGATGGTGGTAATGGTATAGAAAATCAGTACATGGTCTTCTTTAGAAATGGGTTTACAAAGTTTGGAGGTATTATAATTGTTGATGATAAAAAAATAAATCTAATAAATGTTTAATTATTAATGACATTGCAATTTTTCTTCGTGGAGTACGCATCCTATCCTATTTTCATAAAATATTGCCTATACAGTAGTATAATTTACACACATATATTGCAATATGTTCTTACTATTGTACAAAAATAGTAATTAATCATTAGAAAATACGCATTATAATTATTTTATGAATATAATATCGAATGATCTCCAATAATATCTCTTTTACAGCCCAAATGCATTTTTACAAATTGAAATCGACCCAGAACATTCGACAAGGACACATTCCGAAGAATAGCCCATGTACCAGCGGTACAATGATAAGTGACCTCATTTCTCTAACTATGTTCTACGTCATTTCATGCCCAAGTGTACGGTAAGCATTTATGGGTTGAATAACATATCGCATACCTGCATTGTGTTCAAATATCACGCAAACTATGCGTCAAATATAAATATACGTGAACAATAACGATCAATATGCATGGTCGATACTCTATGACAATTTTTTGGACATGTGTATCCTAAACAACTTATTTCGGGGAACGAAAAGAGAAGGGAAAACTCCACAGTTTTACAGATGGCAGACATAATTACGTCTCTTGCTTACTATACTTTCGTGAATTTTCATCGGCTAGTTTACGTATACAACGTATTGTTGTGATGTTTTAATCTATGTTAGCATATTCCTTTCATCTTTATTTTACTTGATGTAAAATTTTACTTTTACTTGATGTAAAATAACAAGCTGCGATATTAATTATAAACTTCATTTTTAGTATACTACACCTGCTTCTTACTGACTACGACATCAAAAAGATTGTACAAGATACTGTGGTCTCAACTCAACAATGTTCAGGCATCGAACCTTATACTCTCCCGAACCCGTCCAATCTTTACTGGGTAATGATGACCAACGTTTACTATATCTCATAACTTTATAATCAATTTAATAAAATAATGTATCTACAAATTACAGTATGTAAGTCGATATCTGATCACTGACATGTTTTCGGTGAACAGTGTCCACATTTTCCTCTCGGTATAATATCCTGTCCACTGACAAGTCAATGGACAGGATGTTCGCTCAGAATAATAGTTTACGCTATATCCCCAATCACTGGTTAGTATCAAGGGAAGGTTACGACGGTAGGACTCTCTTTACTTTTTGTACCATTGAGATGCATGTTAAATTGACAAAGTTCAGTTTAGAATTTTTCAAATCGGAGCCCGTCGATTTTTCAAAGATTTTCAGAGCAATACAGAACATCTCACCTTTATGTAAAAAAATATAAACAAAAATATTCCACGAAAATCAAAAGTTCTGTTGCAGGCCCGTAGCCAGGGGCTCGGGGGGCTCGTGCGAGCCCAACCCCCCCCCCCTCCCCAACATATCTCCTAAAATAATGTGGCCCTACCTTTTTTGCTTTCTTGAATATTTCAAATCGGAGCCCAACATCTCACCTTTATGTCAATAAAAATATTACGCGAAAATCAAATGTTCTGCTCTCTTACATAATTGGAGTACCAAAACGTCATCATATTTATGTACATCGACCAATTCACCACTATCAAGGTCATCCATCCGCAGAAAATAATCCCTAATATTTTACCTTCACTGTTATGATCATATGTTTCCAAGTTATTCTGTGCATTATATGCCTGCAAATTAGAGTATTATATCCGAAGATGGTGCCGCAGTACATCAATGAAGTTCCCAAACTGTTTTTTAATAGAATTACTTTCGTCATACCACAAGTACACCTTCGCATTCAAGATGGCGGACGTCAAGTGTCGATTTCAATATTTTTAGTTTTCATGGAATTGAAGAGAGAATCGGATTTAGCGAGCAGTCTTACACAAAATTGTTTCAATTTAAGAATGTTCCAAGCTTATGTCATTCCTTTTAATGTCTATTTTCTTAAAATCCCCAAAGTGCTCACTTTATTTCAGGAAAACTAACGATTTTTACAATAATGTATTATTTTTCTATAAGAATGGTTACCATTCTTATTACTTGGGTTTTCACCCATTTTTGCACTTTGAATCCATTATAACTTCACCAATTTATGACATATCGTGAATCCTTTGGGAGATATTGTATTTGAGATTGTATGATTGGTAGGTCAATTGTACACGTTGCTTGTAATTTTGTCACCCCCCCCCCCCCCATAGATCTGATCCTACCTTTAAACTATTTTTATACTTGTCGCCATGCTTTGATATTTATACTAAACCAGGTGTTAAAGATGGAGTATGATCATTTCTTCATATATCGTACGTGAGCGCCACAACTCAATGATATCTTCAATCGCTGAAGAGAAAGTTACTGGAAATGTATTCAAACGATAATGGTCATTGAACCAAATTCCTAGTAATCCAAGTGCCTTTTAGGCTCCAGATTGAGACACCTTTTCTCACACACGTGAAGTCTCGGGATAAAACTGTCCACATGGTCGGTTAGGTGTTCTTCTTTCTGGGAAATTAAAATTCACTATATATCAATTATCTTTGTTACGGGTTATTTTTCTAGATTTTATCATTGTGTAGCTCAGGAAGAGAGCTTTTGAGAGTGAACCATTTGTTTTTTGATTATTCTTACGGATTTCAAGAAATAACGTTCCAAGATATATCAACAATATTCTCAAATGTCATTAAGATAAGTTAAAGTTGTCGAATAGGACCTTAAAAGGTTAGTCAACTCACATGTTTTAGTGTCAACATTCCAGGTTAAAATTTAATTCATTTTTTTATTTTGGGCAATTTTTTTTTTTTTAATAATAGATACTCTTTATTTCTTAAAATCATAAATAAATTTACACTGTTATTCACGGCGTAATCGCCCAGAAAGGGCATTTCTACTGCCGCTTTGACTGAATTTAAATTACAATAGTATAATATAACATTTAGTCAAAGGCAATTAACACACTACAGTGCAATATTTTGGTAAGAAAAGAACGTATACATTTTCTTTCTCATTTTTCATATCAGATGTCAAAATAGTTTTTAAATAAAAAGTCTCGAATCTTGAGTCACCAATCTGGTTTTCAATGTTTCCTGTTGAAACTTTCGTAAAATATTGATTCGCTACATATGTATAAAAATGGGTTGAATTATTCTATGTTAAACACATACTAATATGGTCATTTAAATAGTAATATAATTGTTTTTTGAATATGAAATGTTAATATCATCAGACTGCAGTCAGGGGCCGGCGGGGCAACTTTACAGGAAATTACTTTTTAATTATTATGTAGTGTAATTTTCTCTTACAGAATCTTGATAGAATAAACCAAGAGAACCCATCCCCACTTGATGGATTTTTCTCAGTATTAGGTAAGTTTGTTTACATATGTCCGATTCTCTGTCCCCTTTCTTGCTTCTACGTTCATTGAATCATTATATATAAGCATACTGTTAGGGGTTAAGGATTATCATTTTTTCAACTTTGAATCTTGATAAAATAAATATAATTGGTAAAATAATTTTTTAGACCAAATTAAAAGCAATACAAATAGGTGAAAATTAGTAAAAAAAATCCAAATTTAGAAATAGTTCTGATCAAATTCATGAAAAATATCATGTCTGACTATACCAATAGTTTTTGCTTTTAGGAAATGGGGTGGCCGTTGACTTGTATATAATAGATTCGTAAGTTTAGTGATATATCAGATATATACTAGCAGCAAGTTATCGCCCGGGGAGTTCAGTTCCTGAAGACGTCAGTTTTAATTAGCTAATTAAATTTTCTCGATTATTTCTGAAGACACGCACAGTCGACTAATGCGGTTGTTATATATCCAGAAGCCCAAACATTACTTTTACCAGTTTACGACAAAGTATATATTATATTAAAAAGAGCATGATATGATTCTACACCAAAATCAAACAAAAAATGTTGCATCACAAAATGGAAAGAACACATTTTTCCAAAAATTGTGATATCACAAAATTCTAGCTAACACTCAAATGATTGGCATGCTCTTATGCTTCTTTAATCTAAACATGTACGATATCTACGGTTCTAATATCGAAAATAAGACTTGACTTTTTAGAAATTAATAGGCAACAGGTTTGGGAAATTAATAGTGATAATAGTAATAATTCAATAGTGATCGGCCATTTTTCAATTTTCATTATTGTCATTTTTGAAATCTGCATATTCATATTATGAAAATCAGGTATGATTCATGCGGTTGCAAGCTATCTTAATTAAGGTCAACAAATAAGGCCTTTTTCCTGGATCTCCCACTCGCCTATAACACCAACATTCAAAACTTTATAGATGTCTACATACACTTTCAGAGGAATACGTTCTCAACACCAGGAGTTCACAAATCGGATTGACAGTGCCGTGAGTATAAACTAGATGTAATTTTTATATCAGGTTCAACTCTTCAACATGGCGTAGAATAATGGAAATTAATAGCGTCATGAATTCCGGGACAATGAATATCGGATCCAAGTACGTCATTAATCAAAATATTGACAAATTTGTAACCTAAAAGGCCGAAAGATTATGCGGCAAATATTGAAACGGGGGTTTTCAACATATTGTATTAGCTTTTATCTCTTAGAATCCGTTGAATCTTAAGCGATTGGAGTTGATCACTTAACGAATGGTATGAAATGATGAGGATTTGGTTTTTTTCAAAGTATAATGGCGGCCCAAGGGGGATTTTAGCAAAATATCCCGAAAATTAAAAAGTGAATGAAAATGAACACTTCGTTGGGTCTAACAAGGATCCGTTGAATCATAAGAAAATAAATGATTTGTTAAAAAGTAATTAATATTTTAAATTTTGATGAAGACTGCTCTCCATTGAAATCTTTGGACCATGAAATGTCGATTTACGCGCATGCGTTGTGACGTTATTTCCATTATTCTACGCCATGAACGAACGAAATCATCATAAGTCCATTCCAACATTAAAATGTGTATACTAAGTTTTGACCCCAGTCATAGAAACCATTTGACACTCGTCTTAAAAAAAATATGTTGGTTAAACAATTAGAAAAATGGCCACTGCTTGGTGACCTCAATATAAAAAAAACACGAAAATTAATTATAAATAGGTTTTTAATTTTGAATGCAGAAATGATTTCGCCCTCAATTGTTTTTGTTTTGTTTTTTACACCCTCTAAAGGTTTTTGAGGTCCAAGCAAATATTTTGCAACAGCTCTGCAACCAGAGAAGCTTTTGTCATTCTGATTTTAGTTTTAATTAGATCATCCAATTACCTTTCATAATATATATGTATACGCGCGGTAGTGTTTATATCAGTCGTTTTGTTCACATCAATACGGAATAAAACATAACATTTTGGTTGGGACCCTAAGGCTTTTTCATTCTTATATCAACAGAGATGTATTTGGTGTTTATAGAAAGTAAATAAAGTAGATATAAATAATTGAGGATTAGATGAAATTTCATGAAGATTAGATAATTATTCCTTTAACAACTATCACAGAGAATGTGCTCTGGGGCCCAAACAAAAAACCATTTGAGGTTTAAGGACAGGGTGCATGTTGGGAAATTTTCTGCATTCCTCAATTGAGTCACATGTTATTTTACAAACATGAATAACTCCTTCCCCACATTGTCTACATCTTCCAAGTTTGCACAAAGAGTGCACTTATGTGCCTAGAAAAGCCTTGTGAGAAGGTTTGTTTTGTAAAATGTATAAAAAATGAGAAAATTCAGTGAAAAAAATTTCTGAAAATTTTCTGATTTTTTTCACTGAATTTTCTTGTTTTTTATACACTTTATCAAAACATTCTTCTCACAAGTCTTTTCTAGGCACATAAGTGCACTCTTTGTGCAAAACTGGATGGAACTAGACAATGAAGGGAAGGAGTGATTCTTGTTTGAAAAATAACATGTGACTCAATTGAGGAATGCAGAAAATTTCCCATCATGCACCCTGACCTTAAATAAAAGAAATGAAGTCTATATAAACGCGTCGTAAATTATAGAACCATTACTATTGAAGGATTTTTAAGCCTTGGACTCCGTGCATTGTTTGCTGAATCATACCATGAAGGTGTTGTTTCCAAACGTTTACATGACCGCACAGCGGGAATGCAAAGTTCAGGAAACAACGCCTGAGTGGAATGAAGCAGCTACAATGCTACACTGTTCATTATGTGGATACTCTGTTCTGATTGGCTGGAATCGGACACACCTTGCCTAGCTTTGTGTGAATTTTGAATCGAAACACAGTGCATTAGTTTGGAGTTATCTAAATGTAAATTTAATTTCAGGGGTATAACTTTGTAGATGTCAATAGCCCTCCGGAAGATGACCATATAGAAGGCCATGGAACACGAGTGTCAGGTACAATATAGACGCCATTATTAAGACTTTCTCTATCCACTATAAGTTTGTTATAAACATTCATTTCTTTAGGTCGTAACGTTTTCAAGATGTGAATAATTGCGTTAGTTGAAATTCTTTGAAAGCTGCCTTCAGATCTTCTCTTCAATTTTCTATAATTAGGCAATACCTCACTCTGACATATTTCCAAAGGCTTTGATCTTATTTTGGAAATCAACCGGATATCAAGCCTCTAAACATAAAATGCATTAAAATAGCGTCAAAATGAAACTAAACTTAAAGGTACCTTAACCCTCATGCAGGAAATCCTGAGAGAGCCCTGAGGTTTTCCGAATATATGCTCTGTGTGTCTAAAATAGATATTCAACTTGCATTTATACATAAAGTATCGTATTGTAGGTATCGCTGCAGGAAGTACCACTGGCGTTTGCAAAATGGTTACCATAATTCCATTGAAAGTAGTAGATCAGAATGGTAGAGGAACGTCCAGGTAATACATTGGCTCACTTTATTTCAATATTACAATGTATGCAATCATGATACTCCGGACAGTTTTGATCATCCAACTCCTTTACACATGTAACAACACTATTTGTAAGCTAAGACACCCTGATACGTTGCATACATTAGCGCAAAACAATTACTCAGATGCGAGTAGATAGTTACCAGTTTCGCCACCAGGTGGCTGATTCGGGGGAAATAACATAGCAGGGTCTTACAAAATTCCCTTTAACTTGAATATTCATCAGTTTTAGTGGTTCACTTTTCAAATTACCCTTATATATCTGATAGTTATACAAATTAAAATATGTCCCGTAAAAGAAAATATTATCGGCCCAACAAGAGAAGATATTTGACTTTTTGTGATTTTACAACACAAACGATAATGAGAACTATGTGGAATCTCCCGGCCTAGAAGTTACATTTTCAAAGAAAAGTTGACAAACTCTTTCAAAACCACATTACTAGATGTAAGTTTACATGTAGATTCCAAATATGACATCAGTTTAACTAAATTTTGAATTTATTTTTAATGACGTAAATCAACATTATTTCTTCTCGCATCTAGGATATTTCTGATATTGAAAACAGATATTTTTCTATTTGATGCGATAATTTAAATCGTAATGACAATCACATTGTGTCAAAAATCAATACTCAATAAAAACTATAATGATGTCAGGATAATATTTGAATCAACTATTTTACATCGATATTAGTCATGTCCTTAACGATAGCACCAGACTGAAATCCTAAACAGTATTCCAATGAGACATATAAGGTCGAACGTGTACTGGAACGTATGCAACTTATCATAATCGTTTTTATCCATCATAGTAAATATCAACATACTGTAACGTTTTCATTTAATGAGCGTTTACTCGAACGAATTACAACAAACGATAATGAGAACAAAGTTCGAGAATCCTCGAAATGAAACATAGCAAACTGTCTCTTCGAATCTCAAATTACACCCCATGCAGACAGATCGACTAAAATTACATTACGTATGATGTGAGACTCGACATTCACCAGTAAACGTGAAATAATGTTTCACCCATGGAGCAAATTAATATTTTACTACTTAATAAATATTGAATGACGGACAAATTAAGTTTTATAGATATGAGAATATCATGATGTCTTGATATTTCAAGGTAACGTCATTTGAAAAGTGATGGCGCTGATCAAAACAGTAATGTAAAGATAAAACCGCAACGAAATATTTGAAGATTTCTTTGAAAAACAAAATAATGTACATCAAATATCGAATTTTCCGAAACACAAAAAACGTGTATAAATTGTAAGACCTGCAGGTCCGAACACAACGAGAAACACTATATAATAAACATCAATACGACGAGATAATAGATTTATTATCCAAATTGAATGATAAGTAATAAGATCAGGTACTGTTGAATAACATTCTGCCCGTGATTTGTTATTAATCATATAGAAATGTCTTATCCGAACAGCTTACATGTACGTATTATCCGTTGCGGCCATTAACAATTTTACATATCTAATTAGCTAAGTAAATAAACATGCGTCGACACAGTGGCAGTTGACTATGAAAAGTTTAAAATCATCAATTTTATTTTTATTTTCTTGATTTAAAGATTTATTATGTTTAAAAAAGAAAATGTTTGATTTTTAAGTTCAACCTTTAATTCTTATTATCAAGAACGCGCATGCAAATTCGCAAACCATGTACATTGTTTGCAGTCTGCGCAATTTAATGTAAATCATTGTATATTTTTCGATATACTGTAATACTATTCATTATTTGTAAAATTGAACCGAATATAATCTAAAATTAATCAGCTTTAAATACATTATAGTACCCCACACACTAATTAGTCACAAACTTTAAAACTTGTTTTGAACACTTTCCCCTTATTGAATCATGATGAAATTTCACATGGACAAACTATAAACACTTTCCAGCACTCAGATTTTTTGATTTGCTTGAATTTTAATTTTCAAATTTTTACAGTCATTTAAGATGAAGCACCAATTTCGCATTTTTCACATTTTATGCTATATATATGTATATTTGGCTTAATTCTTTGAGATGTACAAATTGAAACACTTGGATAAACTTTAACATCAACAACTTTTTAAGTAGTTTTCTACTTACTGTCATACATTACATTACTGTCATATGTATTTCAAATTTTTAATAACTGGTGGATAGCATTATGAAGACAGTGGTTCATGTCTTTGTGTAGATTTATATACGCTTTCCGGGCCACTGGAATACATGGCGGGCATCTTTGGCTCTGTTTCTCCTGTTTTTCACCCGTCTTGCCACTTTACTTCCTGCAACGCGTCTATTGAAATCTTTACCAGTAGCTCTCTTTTTGTAGAATTCCTTAAAGGCATGAGGGTTGTTTCTCATTTCAAACAGCGCGTCATTGAGAGCAAGTAAACATTCCTCAAAGGATCGGGGGACTACAATTGAGTGGCCATATTCATCACAGGGGTTGCCAGGGGGATGCCACCGTGATACTTTTTGTTGGATGCTATTGTTGAAGAGCTCACAAGGATTAAGAAGATGGCCCTTTGGAGGTAGCATCACTACGTTTACACCATTTTCTTCCAATTTTACCCTAACTTCAGGATTGTAATGCTGTTTGCATGGATTCAGGGCCCTCACTGAGCGTCCTAATCTATCCCAAACTAGGGTCGACCCCCTAGGTAAAAGCCGGTGAAGTCCTGGACCACCAAGATATCGATTCCTGGCTTCAGATGCAATTGCAAACTTCTTGACCACGGAGTCATCTGCATTCCTCTTTGTGAGAGATACCTTCACAAACTGCGACTGTGATATTACAGCTGAGCATGTATAACGAGCAGGACGGTATGCTGAGCGGGCGTATAACTTGGTACCTTTGCGTGTGCGTCCTAAGGAAGGCGATGAGTTTTCAAATATGGGGAATTCGTCTTGATAAAACACATCATCGAGTGTTAGTCCCAGATCAAGAGCATTATTGAATCCTTCGATGAATCCCCCTGGCAGCATTAAAATTACTCTCGTATTATATATCACACAATTAATATTTGAAACGCAACTATTATTCGAACATATGATCGGACATTTGCATGATACTATATCTAGTTCTACTTTATTACGTTTAAGTACGCATCATATTTATGTCCGATCATAAGTTCGATTAGAGTTGTGTTTCAATATTCTTTCTTTTTACCCCCTGCGATAAGCAGTTAGCGTTTCCCCGATTAATTAAGAACTCGGAATCTGATTGGCTGTCGCAATACTGCGACAGAAATCATGTATAAGCCATTGCGTATAATTAGATCATGTGATTCAGTTTAATCGGGCCCTTCCAAATTGGAAGGGGGAAGAAGGAGGTACGGATTCTGGACACCTGCTTAGAAGGATGTGAATACAAATACATTCTAGCATTTTAGATCCATTCATTATCTCAAATAAAGTTATACACAATTATAGTAAAGCATACTCAGAAATATTCAGCTATCAATCAACCAACAACCAACAAACTTTTTTCAAAAATGTTCACCTCATTTTTACCAAAATGCAAACATTTTTTACAATCTTCTAAGATTGGTTACCTATGTTATTTCACTGAATTATTATACTGAATCCAAATTCAGTATCTTTAAAGTTCCTGGATGAATCAAAATGGAGTGGAAGGGAATGGGTTCCTTAAAATTTAAATGTATAATAAAAACTTTAATAATCACTTCACAATCATTTCACAAAAACTTTAAATAGCATAAATTCAATTCACAGTGGCGTGATTCTTACGATCATGAAAGCCAGCATTGAACTCAAAGAAATGCAAAATGAACGTTCTTTTACTACCACTTATCTTTTACAGTGATACTATAGCGGCGATTGGAAAAGTGAAGGAACTGAAAGCGATCCGAAAAAGACCTTCAGTTATCAAGTAAGATGATCAAAACTCATTTTATAGTTGATTGAAAACAATCTAAAAATAATGGTGATGATTTATTTATTACTTGATATGACATGATCATATTTAACCCTAATGTCTGCAACCTTTTAATTATTAAATGAATAAGGTTAACAACACTACCAAGATTATTGAAATCAGAGCAGTTAAGAAACATCGCCCATCGTCCATATGACCCCCCCCCCTATTGCGACTTTTATTTTACACGAAGTCTCAATAGGGGGGGGGGTCTTATGGACAATTGGCGATGTTTCATTTCTTCTCTGATTTCAATAATCTTGTTAGTGATGTTGACCTCATTCATTTAAAGTACTTTTTAAAATAGTTCAACAAATTTTTAATTGGGGTTACCGTGACATTTTGGGATAAATGTTTGACTATATAATTTTAGATAATATTGTTTTGTATCTCATACTTGAGTGGGTTTGTGGGAGATATCATATTTGAGGAGCGGGCGGGATATATTGTATATCTCACATGAAATGAAATTGAAGTGAAATTCATTGTCTCAACAGCATATCAATGATGCTATTGACCAGTTTAGGCCAAGATTGAGGGCTACAATTGATTAAATTGGTGGACATATTGAACGTCTGTTTATATCAATAAAGTTGATAATAAAACTTGGTTTTTACAAGTTTTGGAAAATCCGTTTTGAAACGAAAATGACGTCATTTATATTATGGATGCTGGTTGACAGACATTATAATAAATTTGAAATTATAGCGGAACCCCAATAGAATCAACAACATGGAACAATAAGGTTGATGGCTCAGTTTGTTTGTAATTGTATCAACTTTTCACAAATGATAAAATTGCATGTGCACACACATATTATAACATACATGTAAACACTAAATTACAAAACAAATTATAAAATAGATACACATGCAAAATCATCCTTCACAATTAGTGTAAATACAATTTTGTTTATTTTAACCACCTTTATCTATGTAGATTGACCAGATCCTAAGGAGCGCCCATCCAAACGCTATAAGATAACTGCCATCATTAAAATTAAATCACGGCGCTGTAGTCACTGTCAGTATCAAGATGGAAACAGACGTGTCAGTTATCGTATCATGCACTTCCAGTTACATTCCCTTGTAAGCGGTGTAACATATAGTTGAATTGAAAATCGCTCTAGTTTGCGACGTTAAACACAGTTGACGACTTCCCCGGTTAGGACAAGTTTAGGGAATAATGCAGAATCGGTTTTTAACTTTTCCGTATAGTTGTCCTATCATAAATTATTTACGGCAAAAAAATTAACCGAAAAGTTCAGATTCGGACTCCTAAATCTGTTTACTCTGTGTCTTTTTGTAGTGTGTCCCTCGCAGCGCCAACATTTGATGAACTGGACAAGGCAGTAACATCGGCTGTGCAGGATGTTAGTACATAGTTTTAAATCAGTAAATACGAATAAATATGAATTGGAATTAATAATTGAAAATATTTTAAATTTTAAGTTTAAATTACAGAAATTATATAAAAAAACAGGTTTTAATCATTACAATATTAGTAAGGTTTTAATTGAAAGACTTTACTTATTATAAGTAAGGTTTTACTGATACGGTTTTACTTATTACAATATAAGTAAGGTTTTATCCACACCATAGGTGAGAACACCGACAACCATTCTATTTAAATTATCATTCAATGATAATTTTTTACTTATTACAACATAAGTAAGGTTTTACCCACGCCATAGGTGAGAACACTGACAATCATTTGTATTTTAATGATCATTCACTGATAATGTTTTACTTATTACAACATAAGTAAGATTTTACATATAATGTTTTATTTATTACTATATAAGTAAGGATATACGTATACGGTTTAATTACTTATTACAATATAAGTGAATACACTGAAAATTATATTGCATTTTTATGATTTTAGGGTATATTTGTAAGCGTTAGTGCTGGTAATAACGGTGTTCCCTCGACAAGACAATCGCCTGCACGCGCAGCGATGGCGTACGTAATAAAATTTGATTTTTGATACGAATTTGCATATACGAACGCAGATCTGGCGTAACAAGTGTCCTGTTTAAGGGTTATAATAATCCAAAAAACATATCTAATCGTAGAAAATCGTGAAACGTGTAGTTCTATCGACTTGTTATATGTCCCCTATGTAGAGCTTGTATTTAAGGATTAATCTGGCATTTGAAAAGTGTTTCTGTGTCTGTGTTTCAAAGTGTAGACAATATATGAACCTGACCAGCAACCTGGTGCACAGCATTTGACATTGTTCACTTGTGTTTCAAAGTGAAGACAGTATATGAACCTGACCAGCAACCTGGTGCACAATATTTGACATTATTCACTTGTGTTTCAACGTGTAGACAGTATATGAACCTGACCAGCAACCTGGTGCACAACATTTGACATTATTCACTTGTGTTTCAACGTGTAGACAGTATATGAACCTGACCAACAACGTGATACACAACATTTGACATTATTCACCTTGGTAAAATCTTCCGTGACGCTGGAATATAATGTTTGCAATATCATTTATATATTATCAAATATACAATAAATGTATAATAAATATATAACAAAATTGCATATTTCTTTTTAAGATTTACAGTAGCAAGCGTAGACAAAAATGATGATCTCAGTCCAAAATCGAACTATGGTCCGGGCGTCGACATCACAGCCCCAGTGAGTACAACAAATGTCATTTAAAATTTTGGGATAGTGCCAATATTTAACACAGCTCGCACTTTGTATTCAGCATAATATAAAAGTTTGCGATAACTTTTGATGGGATCTCCATGATGGGATCTCCACTTGGTGAAATCGATAAAATAATATATTTAAAAGATGTTTTATTTTCTGATATTTGTGTAAAAAGATGCGTTATAATACAGTATTTCCGTTCAGTATTGTAATTATTATATTATATTATGAAGGAAAAACATATACCGTAGGTATATTACTTGCCAGACCATCTCTCTCCTCATATGGCGGCTATAACCGTACATATTCTGTCGATTCGATTTTTAATCTATATTAGTTATTATTACAGCATTACCTTAATTTGTTGCGCATCATACAACTTAACAGATTTTTATTAATTCGAGATTTTAGCAGGAGCCTAATTTACAAAATTATCAAATATAAAAAAATATTATTATAAAAATATTATTATATGATAAATTATCAGAGAACAATGCTGAGAAAAACCTTGACCTTGCAAAGTTCACATCTTCTGTTTTTAATTTTCTTTGTCTCCACTGAAATGGGGATATCATCATATTTCAAAATATTATGATATCCACAGTCATGTTAAGTCAAATTTAAAGAAAATTCATACATTGGGTTTATACCTAATTTATTATGATACTTGGTAGATCCTCTTACCAATATTTTAAGTGTTAGAAATTATAGAACAAAATTCGGAATTGATTTTATTCAATTGTTTTGGGAGGGACACTATTTGATTATTGACACTGTTTGTGTTTCAGATAATAAAAAAAATCAAAAACTAATTAATTTCATTGTTTTCTGGTAGAAGGGCGCACAGGGTACAATGATTATCTGTGGTTTCCATGCACTTCCAAAGTGTTTGAGTCAATTAGAAAAAATAGTAGAAATTTCCTTTTCCAGTTTAAGTGAGGGTCTGCCATCGCCCTCGAGTGCAAGTCGCTCGCAACACACCCCAATCTCCCATTTCAACGGCCCTGTACATTTATGTACGCTCATACATTCAAATTTTATTGCCGATAAGATCATGAATCAAAAATATAACAAGATCATGAATCAAAATAAGTGTGATAAGAAGTGACATATGGTCTCGTTGTCTATTTAACAGATAAAATAGATATATCACATAGCCAATTTTTTAGTACATCATCAGTTGTAAACTTCAAAAATATCAAAATTTTATATAAATATTTTAAAATTTCTATGGAGCCCTGCAAAACCCTACAGTAATAAGTAAACCGTAATGTTGACAGGTGCTCAACAGGTTGAAACAATTGCAGGAATATTTGTTTTATAATTTAAACATATCAAAACAATTGGTGGATCAACGAAAAACGAGATGATGTTAAAAGAAAGTGAGCTAAATGAAACAATTATTTTTAATCATTTAAATGCACAAATAGTCATACAGATTATCTTATTTTCAATTGAACAGATAAAATCAATATATCATGCTTATAACCTTAAGTTTCCAAAAACCAACTCATAAGTAGATAATCCGTTGTAAACTTCAAAATTTTCAAAATCTAATATTTTTTGTGGACCCCTGTTAAACTCCTCAATAATAAGTAGACGGTAATGTTGACAGGTTCTCAACAAGTAAAACCATGTGTAGGAATATATGTTTTATCGTTTAAACTCATCAAACCAATTGGAGGATCAATAGGAGGAAACAGCTTATATAAGGCTTATATGAAACATACGTGTTAGTTATTATAAAAAAAGTCTCATTGAATCATGCAAAGTAAAAATGTGGAAAAATCACACATATCGATGTTTATCCATATCCAATTTTATGTACTGTATCTTACAGGGTGATGATATATATTCTGCTAGTAACACCTGCGATGATTGTTACTCAAGAGGGGACGGTATGTGTGTTACTAATTAAGTAGCAACAGTCTTAAAAATAGCTTTTCCCGAGTGGGCATATTATTTTGGTGAATCAAATGGGGGAAAGGGGGGGTGTGACTTGGATTCTTTTAAGCGAGTGTGTCAGTATCTAAAGAACAAATAAAAACCTTCATAATAATAGCTTTTTTAGCTTCTCCATTTCTTTTGCCAGAGGACATATTTCCTTTCTCTTAGTCTAACACCCCAGTCACATTTCATACGGCGACCTTGCGGTCTATCATTTCTGCGGCCAGTAACATTTCTACGCTCGCCGTGGAATTTCTGCGCTCTCATACTTTTGCAGTCACATTTCCCACGGCAGCCGCGCGGTGAATTTTAATTTTCTGTTGATAAATAATACTTTTTTCATTTTAGTTACATAGGGACAATTTATAAACGTAATTTATAGTGCTAGGATGCAATATCAAATGAAAAGTGATCGTAAAACATTGACAAATAATGATTCAATCTTGTTGAGCCAGTTGATTTCTACGGGGACCTCAGAAATGAACATATATTATAACTCCGAGTTATAATTTCTACGGCGATCCTGCGGGCTGTAAAAACTGGATACGGCGTAAGGAGGCCGCAAGGCGAGCGAAGTTTTTCTACGCTCGCCGCAGAAATTCACCGATTTAATTGATCTGCGGTCGACTTGCGGCCGCCGTGCGACAAATGTGACTGGGGTATTACTCTCAGTACCTATGCAAAAAACTGAGCATAATGGACTGATAATAGAGACCAGTATTAAAAGTAAGCTTACATTATAAATTAAATATTTATTTACCTACAGTCTCTTGTTTTATCGAACCCTGTCTTCAATACATATCATATAATGATATTTTTCAGGAACATCATTTGCTTCTCCACAAGCAGTAAGTACAAATTGGTATATTTTTGAAAGTACCTTATTAACATCTTACAGTCATCCGATAAACCATTTATAAGGAACAGACAAATAAAAACAAATAACATATATTAATCATTACTAATAAGCCAAATGGGTTGCTCATAAAACCAAATGCATCTACTAAACCTTGCATTTGGTGTTCATGAGCAACCCGTTTGGCTTATTAGTAATGATTATGTTATTTGCTTTTATTTGTCTGTTCCTTATTAATGGTTTATTTGATGACTGTTAGATGTTAATAAGGTACCTTCAAAAATATACCAAACAATCGATTTAGACAAACGGAGTATGTTATGTATCTTTAGGGGTAAGGTATAGTAATAATACGATCTAATAATGAGCTTGCCTGTACTGTACATGCATAGCTAAAAAAAGTGTATGTTTTAATACCGAATTACTCAAATATATATTTAATTGATTTAACTGCAGTAAACTAATGTGTGTATGTTGTTATACCTAATACACACTACTTGTGACACGTACATTTTAATTCATCAGATTACAGTATATCAAAATAATGTGTGTAAGTTGCAAGACCTAATACACACTACGTACATATATTTTAATTCATTTGAGTGCAGTTATTAAAAAATATTGTGTTACACCATGTTGTTATACAAGTACATGCATGTTTTAATGCCAAAAACAAAACAAAAAATGAATTCATTTGAGTGTTCTATATTAAAGTATTTTACACCGACCTACTTTTACTATATCTAGTATTTCTCACTGGCCACTGTACCTAATAATACTATAAATGGTGTTATTACTCTATACAACGACGTTGTTGATTTTCTTTCCCAGAGATATTTATTTTTCTTTTGACGTTTCGTAGGATGTCCATCCTACTTCTTCAGAAATAAAATTACATTTTAATCAAACTGAAATAATTAATTATTACATAACAATGAGACAAATAGCAACCGTTATCTCTGAGAAGGAAAATCAACAACTTTGTTTATAGTACATTACTACCAGAGAGATGAACATTCATAGAAGGTTTTATTACTATATTAGATAGAAAATTATTTTCCCCTTGATCTCTATATTGCACTGATTATTGTTTATGTAGGCAGGTGTAGCAGCGTGCTATTTAAGTGTTTATCCAACAGCAACAGTCCCACAAGTTGAAGCTTATTTGAAGAACGGGTAAATATCCATTGAATGTAAAAACTAACCTTTGACAGTGGTTCTATTGGAGGTCCATGTGAGGGAAGACAAGATATTTTAGACGGTCGTATCTTTCTACATGAGTACTTCCTGGCCATAAATAAGAAGACTTCTATTAAAACAATATGTTTTCTTTCAAGTAAAGTCCCCATGATTTCAGAATATTGAACATATTAACTTTTTCTGACTTTTGTTGCATGAAAATGTCACTCAACAATAGGTCCAAAACTACAGAAGGAGAATGGTATTGAAAGTCTAGTTTTGAAAATACCAATTTTCGATGACCAAAATTATACTGAAAACAATGGATAGCATGAGTATTCCCTATGGGAAAATAGCATGGGATATGTGGTTTTAAACTTTAGCGCATTACATTATCCACCTCTTTTATATCTTATAGAAAACATGTTTGACATGTTTAAATTGAAAAAAATATCCTCTTTTTAGAAATTAACCCTTACATGTTTTAAAAAGTGCCATGGAGGGGTCCTAATTCATAACTTTTCAAAGAGTTGGATTGATATTTTACTATCATGGCAACTTCTCTTAAAAATATATTTCTTTAATAAAAATCACTGTATTTATGGCCAGGAAGTACTCATATTAAAAGATATGACCGGCTAAAATCAATTACATACCTCACATGAACCTTTCAGGTTAAGACACTCTTTAATCAGTATTTTGAACAGTTTTTCAGATTAATAAATAACTTGAATAATTTTGAAATATTGCCACTTCGATATAGTGTTGTGTGCTGTGCTTGTTTATACTGTAATGAGTCTGTACCCGGATGTACACACTCATGAGCATGCTATTTATTACAGGTCTTGGAAAAACAAGATTGGTAATATTGCTAGAGGAAAAAGAGCAAGAACCCCGAACCGAATTCTTCGCTCAAACAAATGTTGATCGATGAAGGATGTCACGTGATCGGCCAGTTATTCATGCGATATACATGAGAGCAACAAGGAAATATTAAAAACATTCTGATTTTAAAAATTGTAAATCTAAAATTTATTCTTTCAAGAACACGAATCATTTATCTCTTGTTCAAATGCATCATTTTTATTTAAAATTAACTGATACCGTTGGGCTAGTTGGAAAGTAATAAGTGCATCCAATATACTTCATGCACTGAATTGATAGATGTTTTAGTTGTGGACAATGACAACCATGTCAATACTCTTGTCCTAATGCTTATCTTAATTTATTGTCCTTATACGAGCAGTGGTTAATAAGTAATGAACGCGTTTTACACCGGTGGTGTATGTATTAAAAGATATCATAGTGTCCTTGACCTAAGGTATCTTACTATTTATCATGTGTATCTGGGGTTTTCACTTTAACCCACTTGAAGTGTAGATGATTATATCCTTCCACGTGAAATTCATAAACAATATGACAGAGCTAAAGAATATCAATATAAATAGCAGAACATTTGTCACAGACATAAATGAAGGTACACATACAAAGCATGGTGAGATTTCAAGTAGCCAAGTACCGCATGGGAATGGAAGTGAAGACGAATTCATATTTGGGGGAAATGAAAACGATGCCACAAAAGACAATTGCGTTACAAATCCAATGATTTATGGAATAGAGGATAAAACACCGATTCACCTTGCCATTATTTATGGCTTGCAGGTATGAACAGAATATTTGTGTAACAACACGTCCAATTACAGAGTTTCAGCAATGACAAACCAAATATTTATATTTGCCTCTAAGTTTTAAAGTTTGCCTCAATGTGTGAAACATTTGCTTATGTACCAACACTTTACCAGAACGTATTCTGCCATGTTAATTTAAAGCTTGCCTTTTAACCCCTCTGGAAAAACCTGGTTACGACAATCTCTGTATATGACTGTAGTAAAACATGCTATAATTCATTTAATAATGCTTTCATATTAAAGCAATACATTATAAGGTAATCAACCATATAACTTATCTTAGTCTTAATTATTAATCGAAATTAACTCTAATTTTATTTAAGCAAGTTTTACTAAGTCTGAGTGCAACAATTGCGATACCTTTACTCATATCAAGGAATATTTGTGCACGTGACGAGGACGTGAATGACGTCACTGTTAAGATACTAGGCACATTTTTAGTGACGTGTGGAATAGCTACATTTCTTCAAAGTACATTTGGAGTAAGGTAAAATACAAGTAAATGCCTTTGGATGGGTCAAATTTACGTACATCGAAGTTTGTCTTTTTGGCTGAAATCGAAAACAGACAAATCATTTAAATAAAAACATGACCAGTAACATGTAAGATACATGAAAATAAAACGATAAGATAGATGTTAGAAACTGAAGTGCAGTATTTTAAAGATGAAAACACAACAACTTCTTAAATGTAAAATAACATCGCTAAAGGCTACACGAATGCAGAACATGAACAATTCATATTTAGAATGTCCCTTGGCCTAACCAATGAAGCGTTAGTATTTTCCGTAAAATTCCTTACCAAATGTTCTGTTAATGAAGTTAATGAAAACACAGAATAAAATTCTGTGCTAAGGGCTGATGTAAAAAAATCAGTCCACCCCAGTGGATATCGAACCCTCGACCCCTCGCTTTCTGGGCAAGTGCTTTAACTTAATTTTGTTGTATTCTAAATATTCTAGACTGCCCATCATACAAGGGGGGTGCCATTCATATATGGTGCCATTCTTTTCCCTCATGTCGCTAGAGAAATGGAAATGTCCAGAATTGAACAATAGCACTGTTAGCGCAGGTAGTGTATAGTTAGTTACTTGTACAGCACTATTTCGAAAATGGTGCTCAAATAGCGGTGTTTTTTTACTAAAACGCAGTTTGACATTGGCAGTGTGCTACTTGTGCAATAAGCTTTAAAGATTAAAGATTTATTTTAAGAGAGAACTTAAATGATTTAAACACTTGAATTTATACAAAGAGCAATTTACCTTAGCAGGTTACAATATCACGCCAATGGTTAATATGACATCAGCAATGGATAATGCAACATTAGCAATGAATAATGTGACATCTACAGCCTTCGACAGTGCATCAGATTATGATAGCGATGAAGTATGGAAAGCCAGAATAAGAGAGGTGACTCGAAATAAAATGATTCATCATTAATTTTGATTTTTGTTTAAATAGTGCTACTATCACAGAGTCTGACTGAAAATGTAAAAGTGTTCCATTGAAGTGTATTTTATAAAAGTATCCGTCTTATTTTGAAGCATTTTGTATATTCCTGGACTGGATGAACTATTTTTAGATCGGATTCCGTCGGGAACCAGAGTAAACCTTTATTTGTATTAGCCTTTTAATTTCCAATATTTCAGCTTCAAGGAGGAATTATGTTGGCGTCTGTCACTCAAGTGGTTATCGGAATGACAGGCTTGTTTGGTGTGATATTATCATTTGTTGGACCATTGACGGTTGTCCCCACTGTGTCGTTAATCGGAATATCTTTAGCTGATATTGCAGTAGAGAATAACAAACAACAATGGGGAATAGCACTTTTGTAAGACAGGAATATATTCACTAACACCAAACGCTCATCATCATTGTGTTTTAGTAGGCCCGTATTAAAGGGGGTTTTGATAGTTTAAAACCCCTCCCCCTCAGCTAAAAATCAGAATCATGTATTTTTTCACCATTCTGAGCACCTGCGATTTCACCATTATTTGACCAAAATTATCAAAATTGACCCCACCCCCGTTTTTTTAAAGTGAACCCCCTTGGCAAAAGCTGACAACGGGTCTGTTAATGATGTTATGTTTTAGGTTATTGTGCTCTTCGCTTTTCTTTTTATCTTTGTTTCTTTAAAACAAATCACAGACATATTTTTCAGAACCATTGGTTTGATCATCTTGTTTTCACTCTTTCTAAAAGACATACAGTTACCTGTACCAGCGTACAACAAAGAGAAGAAATGCCACACGAAGAAACTGAATATTTTTAAAACTCTTTCAGTAAGTCAAACAAATATTTCTTCAAATTAATCTTGAGTCCTAAACATTAGATGTAGTTGTTGGAGCACAAGATTAATTTAATTGTTGTTTCATTTAACGTAATGTATGTTGTATGTGAGCTTCTAACAGATACCAACATGCCGAAATATAAGTTTGGTAATCAAGTTGAGAAATATAATTTTTTTATTGTGAGTTTTGGGGACAATTGTACTTTTCAGTGTTAAACATGCATAGCTGGAACAAGCGATAATCAAAATATTATTCATTGCTCTCTTATCTTGAAATATAGTAGGCTATAATTACTCTTTTTACTAGTTTACAACCCAGAACAAAGTTAGTTTAAACACGATTAATAATATATCTAGATTTCGGCACATTGATTGCTATTTTAGATTATCATAGCCATAGGTTTGTCATGGAGCGTATGCGCAATACTCACTGCTACTAATGCCTTACCAGAGACTGAAGGCAAGATCGGCTACAGGGCAAGAACTGATACAAAATTGAGCCTTTTGAAAACTGCTCCGTGGATTTTCATTCCCTATCCAGGTATAACACATTATCTGCTTTATATGAGCTTATTAGCCTTTTGCAGATTATTGACATAGATATAAACGACAATGACGATCCTGCACATATGATATATATTTTAAAAAAACTAGCAATAAAGCAAACTCTAAGTGTAAACCTGTCTTACGAAAAGTAGACCCTGTATATCCCAAAGCCATGATCTAACCTAAAAAATGTCTAACATCCCCTTCCCACTCCTATTGTTCGCAACTACGTATGCTACTGTATGAACCTCAATAATTAACATGTAAATCAAGTATTGAAGCCCTAGACTCTATGAATTGTGTATAGTTCAAACCACGCATGTCTTGTATCAAGACTATGAATGAAGGCGGCAGACATGAGTGCATTAAAGTTTTCAGAATTAATTTTGTCATATGACTTTTTAACTTTAAAGGTCATAGCAGGTCAACCTGAAGTCGGATCGCACCTTTTCTGTTGACGTATTTTTGGGACACTATCTCAAAATCCCTAGTCTCTTATAGCAGACGTACAAAATAGAGAATTTTATTGAAAACTTGCACCTCGATTGACAAAAGAAACAAAGCTGATTACATTCCAGTGGATAATATTGCATAATATTGTAGTTACAAACAGCAAGCTGTTATAAAATTAAGAATGGAGATTATTTGAAATGTTATAAAATGTTGTTCCTGGTAGGATGAAAGATAAACCTTGCCTGACAATGAGTTAACTATTATGAACATGTTCTATTTATGTTTCTGATTCTTCTCATGTGTTTTAGGCCAATGGGGGACACCCACTGTAAGCTTAGCAAGCTATGTCGGTATGATGGCTGCAACTTTACAATCTATCATAGAATCTGTGGGTGACTACTACGCATGCGCAAGAGTCTGCGCAGTATGCCCTCCACCGGCACATGCTGTTAATAGGGGTATTGCAATGGAGGGATTGTCTAGCATCATATGTGGCGCATATGGTTCTGGCGGAGCAACTACATCATACAGTCAAGACATTGGAGCCATTGGCTTTACAAGGGTATGTCACAACAGCCGTTGCGCATGCGTATCAAGTAGGACATCTCGATTTGCTGGCACAGAGTTTGGCGATTTTTGAATGTTCATAACTTAAAACGTGAAACTCCCTAAAGTTACGTCCGAAGGATAAATCATTGAATAACCCATACTGATGGAGCTTCAATGTGATAGTCGAATGTCATATCAAAAGCATAGATCGTATAAGAATGGGTCTTGGATCATAAATGTTAATAGTTAAGATTTACTCTCGTATGGAAAGAATACGCCTCGGTAGGCCTTAAATCATAAAGCAATGTTAATAGTTAAAATTAACTGTCATATGAAAAGAATAAGCCTAAAGAGGATATTCCTTTAAACAAAAAGTAATGTTAACTAATTGTGTTTCTTTAACTTTCATATTTTAAAATAGGCCTTGAAACATAAGTAATGTCATCTTAAAATCTTGAAATAACATCAAACATTATATTACTATATTTGTAAAATTTTGAAGGTAGCAAGTAGACTGACCTTCCAAATGGCGGGATTGATATTCATTCTTTGTGGCATATTCGGCAAATTCGGGGCTGTTCTTACTATGATGCCGGACCCTGTGGTTGGAGGTATAGTGACCGTTAGTTTTGGAATGGTCATATCGGTGGGCCTCTCTAATCTCCAGTTTGTCCAGCTGAATTCGACACGGAACCAGTGTATTCTTGGGTTGTCTTTTATGATGGGAATTGTTATACCTCGTTGGTTATACCAGTCACCAGGTGCCATTCGAACAGGTATATTCGTTTCTTGTGATGCTGGTTTCTGAAATATGAGGCGGTGTTAGTCACTTTTTTCTACATAAGACTATAGTTTGGGATACTGCTGATTTGTATCCATAAAAACTATATAGCATATTGCATTATTGCTTTTTGTATATCAATCACTTATGGTAACTATGTAGATATGCCTAGTATGGCACGAGTATTCCTTTGGAATACGAGGTTGATTCAATGTCATACAAATTCTCTCTTTTCTATAATGCAGTATATTTATAAATTAATGAATTTAAAGTGTTCTGATATTATCTGTATAATACTGGTCAAATATAACGTTAGGCCCATATCCTGGTGCCTTTAATCATTGACAATTATGATTAATAGTTCCAAACTCGCTGGTTTTATCTTATCCTGATAGTTTCCTTTTAAGGCAACACCGAACTGGATCAAGCATTGTTGGTTTTGCTCAAAACGGCTATGTTTGTCGGTGGTGTAACTGGCTTTATTTTGGATAACATTGTTCCAGGTAATGTTGAATATTCAGGTCTGCGTCACTTAAAATGGATATGATAAATGTCTGATTAGAACGGAAATTAATCATCATTTTATGATATTTAGTATTTGTAATTATGTGCATTGGATTATATACTTCGTCAGATAGCAAGACATCATATTTGATTTTTGCACAATATGAGTACTAGTATCATTATAAATAGGCCAAAATTCAATACTCTACCATTTTTAGTATGGTAAAGTAAGCATATTTGATAATGTTTCAAAACGATTTTAAGGATCTGAAGAGGAACGAGGTATAAGAGGCTGGAGGGAACATACTATTGCTGAGGACGGGGTAAATGTGATGGACAAAACGATTGAGGTATATGACCTTCCTTGGATAACCCCATTCTTGAAGAGACATGCACCAAGGTGGATACCATTTTTGCCATCATTTGGAGGATATCCAACCTGTCGAAGATGTAGAAGAAAAGCAAATACAAGACTCTGTTGAAACAATGATATCACCATGTGTTGTTACGTGATATTACCATAAGTTGTCACGTGATGTTAATGTGTGTTGCCACGTGATATTGGAGAGGTTAAGCTTTGCATATATAATCGAAACTGAACCTGTACGTATCACTCGACCATATAGAAATTCACGTAGCCTTCTCATATAAATAGCCGTTCAAATCCAGTGTTTGTTTAGACTACACCATAGCGTGTAATGATTCTATAGTATGTCATTGATGCGGTTTTATAGCTGGTTTTCTAATACATATTTTAAACGAGCTCGTTTCGTAAGATTTTTGGCGCTAAATCATGCATGACATACATCATTGTGTTCAGCAAGAATTCAACTGTGCATCGAAATCAAAATTGACAGCATAGTGTTCAATAGACACGAGTAAAATGGTTCCCGTTGACCAAACGTCAAATATTCAAATCTCCCGTTCTAAACCCGAAACTCTGAAGCTGAAAGAGTATCTGAAGTAGACTAAGCGCGCATAAAACTATGAGCGCTCGATACATTCCTTTGTTAATTTTTGTACTTTGCGTTCACGGTTACGTTGTGAAAAACATCGTTAGCTTAACCTCTCCACTACCATGTGTTGTCACGTTAATGTCGTTTCAGCATGCAGACATTTGTAGCATTGTCCATTTTATGATATTTTACATTGAACAATCCTAATTTATCGCATTCTTCTCTTTGTAACGGGTCTTTTTGATAGACTTTTAATATTCACTGTTTGTGTCAACTACAATGTATGTAATCTTGTTGTATCTGTCTCCGACTATTCAATACTGCGTGTTTACTTTTTATTTTAAACAATCCTCACTTTTCCATGCTGTGTTCAATTCATTTTTCAGGTCATGCCAATTAATTCGAGTTGGCTGGTCACGTTATGCAATTGAGATTTTGTACAGAATTTCACATATACGTTTATTTTATTTTGACATATACTTTCGTATGTTACATTAATCTTGAATGTTTATTTCATTATTGCCACCCCAGGCCTAACAGAAAATAACAACACTTGAATTATTGCTTCGTTTTTTTGTTTGTTTACATACCTTCCAATTTTGGTTATGCCATTTCTATCAGCCTTTGATAATTTGCATCATATCGTTAAAGGTAAAAACACTAACATAAGAAACTCCATGATAAATTATCATCACATGTTATTTAAGAATAACTGATTCAAACAAAATGTCTCATTCGTACGATAATGTAATAGAAACCCTCGTCACAATAATCAAGATGCGAGTAGATAGTTACCATTTTCACCACCAGGTGGCTGATCTAGGGTAAATAATATTGCAGGATATTAGAAAATTCCCTTTAACTTAATTTTTCATTAGTTTTAGTGGTTTAATTTTTTTATTACCCTTATGTATCTGAGAGTTGTACAAATTTAGAAATATCTGGAAAAAGAAAATATTATCTGACCAATTAAGAAAATTTATTTTTTGGGGTTTTATAACAAAGTTGATAAACGCTTTTAAAACCACATTTATAGATGTTATTTACATGTAGATTTCAGATATGATCGTGAATTTTTAATTTCTAATGACCTAAATCAAAATTATTCCTACTCGCCTCTATTGGATTTCAATTATTATCTTACAGATTGTAAAAATATATATTAACCCTAATGTGTACAACGTATTTTTCATAACACAAATGACCCCCCCCCCCCTCTGGCGTTTCAAAAGTTGAAGAGGTACAGTTAAAAGTAAGGTACCTGTACCATATTGCAGGTCATTCTCGGGGGAGGTGTATTGAAATCTCAAAAAAAGTAGGTCAAAAGTAGGTCAAAGTAACATAGGGGTGTGCCTTTTTCGCGTATTTTTTACTTTTTCAGTCAAACGCCGTTTTTTACCGTTTTTACGCACATTTTATCAAGTCTGACGCAGAATTGACGTCTTATCGCGTTTTTTTGACGCACTTTGATCCCCAGATAGACTAACGCTATTTTAATACTTAAATCATGGCCAAAGTCACTTACAAATCGTAGAAATTCAGTAAAAAAAGATCGCTAAGAAATGTTAGAATTGACGAAGTTATAAAAATATGAAAATTAAAAAACATATAATACTGATCAAAGCTCCCAACATGAGAAAAAATATTATTCGTTACCAAACTTCCAGTATAATATATTATAGAAGATAGATGGTGCTGACTTTTACTTTGCATTTTGTCATCATAAAAACAATGTTTTCGCTAGAAGAGCAGGTTGCCTGGATTTGCAGCGTTCCAGTTTGATAAAACATGAAGACTCTTTGCAGCACATTTAATTTCGTACTCTTGATTATCCAAAATGACGCTTAATTATCATAATTCAATTTGACCCAAATTTTCCAAGTTTGACCCACTTTTTTGATTGAACTGGATCATGTGACCCACAAAATGTTGAGGGTACCGCCAGTACTGATCTACCTTTTTAGGACAAAAAACCGTGGGTGAATACCTTTCCTAGATCCAGAAATAGGTAATTTGGTCGAAAACTTGACGAAATGAAATATCGAAAAATGGGAGGCAAATCACAGCCCAGGACCTAAAATACCGAATAAATAATATTTTTTTAATAATGAACTCCTAGGACATATCCCTGGTTATAATATAATGTAAACATTTTGGATATTTGAGCCAGAAGTTGCCGCATTGACATATTTTCATGGTTTATTTTGCTATGTTTATACTGGTACATAATCAAAATATTACAAACAATCGTATGTTTGGCTCTACTGATTTATGAAAAATATTTTAAAATAAATAAAGCCACTCGAGATGGCAGAAAAAAGATTTTCTCAAAAGCTAGAGCTTCAAATACAATTTACTCTTACCCACTTGTTTGTTACATAGTTTAAATAATTGTGTAATATTTTGATGAATATATACTCTCAATTTTGTAAATTATATGCATATTAAGATTGAAAATGACTAAAAATAGCGAAATGGAAATATCTTGGGGTAGGGGAGACAAAAATATTATTTCTACAAAACAAATAAAGATATGGCTATATTGTTTTGCAGAATCTGACAAACATGTTCAAGACCTCCCAGAAAACAATTCATGGATATATGATCACTAGTTTTTGAAAAATCATTTTTTTCTCACATTATCACCTCGATTTTTGCATCAAAATGATCTTTTATCTGTAACTGTAGGTACTACGGTTATAAAAAAAGTGTTTGTTGGCAGAGAAGTACCGGGGGAAAATCCGATACACCACCCCCCCCCCCAAAAAAAAAGAAGAAAAACCTCATCGATGTTTTCTTTAATATTATTTAAAACTAAACCACCTATACAATGTTCAATACCTTTATTTTTATTCAAGTTATAGTGAATACTAGATAATCTAGTTGTATTTTCGAATAATTTTCTATAACAACCCGAGTAGATTTGATAAATTGAATGGGGCTATGGATTCAAGACAATTGAGGAGGGCATCCGTAGAGCTGCACTGTTCTCTCTCTACCGGATTGCCACTACCATCCCACAATGTGTCACAAACCTAGAACAAAGAAAAAATGTGCCATCAATAAAATGCCAATTACTCGTAAATTGTTCAAGATGTTGCCTTGGTGATTTGCAATTTTTGGTCATTGATGCTAATAATGTTTCCGGGTAAAAATAGTACTTCAGTGCGTTGATTTAATTATCCATATGGTAATTTTATAATTTCAAAAGTGGTTGACGCATGCGCATAACCATGTTTCCGGGCAGAGATGGCACTTACAGTTCGTTGAACTGCTTCTTTGAAGTCAGCCTCCAGCATACAAGGTTCACCATCACAGGCTACAACAGATAACATAAAATACAACGGGAAGTGAAGCATAAAACTCATACGGCACATTTTAACTAAACTTTAGGCACATGAATTAGTTATTTCAAAAATTGTGTATTTCAGTAGTATGTAGTGCTTTGATTAACAAACATATAGGCATAACTCAAGAAAAAACACTTGGACTGCAATGTTTACGAGATCATTCTTCAAAAAGTGTTAGTTCTACCTTTGCACGAGATGCGCAGCATCAAGTTTGAAGTCTATAAAATAATGCCCGAGTTCTAATGAACTTTTGTCAATGGTCAATTCGGCAAAACATAAATTTAAATTACTATAGAGTTAAGTTGTCATATTGAGAACAATTTAATGGGTGACCTTGGGTGGATTATTGGTTATATGATGCAGTGCAGTTATGAAATACTGTGTTCTGATTGGCTGGAATCGGACACACCTTGTCTAGCTATGATTGAAAGTAACATCAAGTATGTAGAGTACTTATCCAATAAGCTAGCATACTGATATTACGTTGGACACTGTTCAGCTATTTCAAGAAATTATTTTGATAGCTCCATACGCAGAATGGATTATTTGTGAAATTTCAAAACCTATATAAAATTATTTAGATTCAGATTCAGATATTTATTACTATTTTGAAGAACGTACATGACATTCAATACAACATGGCGCTCTCAAAACCATATATGTTTATTCTACTTACTACTTTTTGCGTATTCATCAAATATCGCTAGGACATCATTCAGATCTATTCGACTTGGGTTATGCCCTGGCGCCTGTGAGTAACTGGCAAATCTTTGGCAAATCTGTTCAGATTTAGGTCGGGTCAGACAAGAACAGTTATACGTGCCGAGTTGTCCAATCATACAGCTGTTTATTGAAACAAAACATTCCCGATTTTCTGGAGGACCAGTGCATTCTCCAAAGGCTAAAGTAATGATTAAATGACATATATAAAAATGAAAAAGCGATTAAATTTCAATCGCTGATAAGAATATGTAGGAAACCCTGGCGTCCTCCATAAGGGTACTTTGGGAAGTTAAGCTATACGTTTTAAGAAAGCCTGTAAATGAAAATGTAGTATTTTGACTCTCGGGATTTATTTTCTCTTTAAATTGTTTTTCCAACTATTTTTAACTAAAACATACGGTAATGATATAGAGGTATATCCAGAATTATGGCAATGTCTATACTTTCTATACATTGTCTATACTTTCTATACTTTCGATCTCCTTTTTCATACTATCTGCCTTCGACGTTTCTATACTTTCTATACTTTCGAACTGCTTTTTCATACCAACTGCCTTTGACAAATCAGATGTCTATAGTTTCTATACTTTCGAAATGCCCTTTCATACTAACTGCCTTTGACAAAGAAGATGTCTATAGTTTCTATACTTTCTATACTTTCGATCTGCTTTTTCCTATAACTGTCTTAGACAAATCAGATGTCTATAGTTTCTATACTTTCTATACTTTCTATCTGCTATTTCCCAGAACTGTCTTCGACATATCAGATGTCTATACTTTCAATACTTTCTATACTTTCGATCTGCTTTTTCCAATAACTGTCTTCGACAAATCAGATGTCTACAGTTTCTACAGTTTCTATACTTTCTATACTTTCTATCTGCTTTTCACAAAACTGTCTTTGACAAATTAGATGTCTATAGTTTCTATACTTTCTGCTATTTCCCAGAACTGTATTCGACATATCAGATGCATTCGATCTGCTTTTTCCCTGAAATGTCTTCTGAAATGTAGTTTCTATACTTTCTATACTTTCGATCTGCTTTTCCCCATAACTGTCTTCGACAAATCAGATGTCTATAGTTTCTATACTTTCTATACTTTCGATCTGCTTTTCCCCATAACTGTCTTCGACAAATCAGATGTCTATAGTTTCTATACTTTCTATACTTTCGATCTGCTTTTCCCCATAACTGTCTTCGACAAATCAAATGTCTATAGTTTCTATACTTTCGATCTGCTTTTCCCCATAACTGTCTTCGACAAATCAGATGTCTATAGTTTCTATACTTTCGATCTGCTTTTCCCCATAACTGTCTTCGACAAATAAGATGTCTATAGTTTCTATACTTTCTATACTTTCGATCTGCTTTTCCCATAACTGTCTTCGACAAATCAGATGTCTATAGTTTCTATACTTTTTATACTTTTTATCTGCTTTTCACAAAACTGTCTTTGACAAATCAGATGTCTATAGTTTCTATACTTTCGATCTGCTTTTCCCCGTAACTGTCTTCGACAAATCAGATGTCTATAGTTTCTATACTTTCTATACTTTCGATCTGCTTTTCCCCATAACTGTCTTCGACAAATCAGATGTCTATAGTTTCTATACTTTCGATCTGCTTTTCCCCATAACTGTCTTCGACAAATCAGATGTCTATAGTTTCTATACTTTCTATACTTTCGATCTGCTTTTCCCCATAACTGTCTTCGACAAATCAGATGTCTATAGTTTCTATACTTTTTATACTTTTTATCTGCTTTTCACAAAACTGTCTTTGACAAATCAGATGTCTATAGTTTCTATACTTTCGAACTGCTTTTTCATGGATAATCTCTCTTTTCATACTATATGCTTTGGACAAATAAGATATCTACGTTTTCTATACTTTTGAACTGCTTTTTCAGACCAACTGCCTCAGACAAATCTATATTTCTATATTTTCTAAAATCGAAAGTGACCAAGAAACTTATGACGTCGCATATTGTTTTACAATGTATAGAAAGTATCGAAAGTATAGAAAGTATAGACATAGGGATTTCACCAAAATGTAAAGTATAGAAAGTATCGAAAGTATCGAAAGTATAGACATAGGGAATTCACCAAAATCAAAAGTATAGACAGTATAGAAAGTATAGACATGTATAGACTTTAGAGAGTCCAATCGTCTAAGACTAAAAAATGTATCATTTAAAAAAAGCAGTTCGAAAGTATAGAAAGTATAGAATATGCCATAATTTTGGATATACATGATGATATAACTCATGAAGGATACAAACAACTATCAACTAAAATTAAATCTTAACATAAACATACATTCCACGACTGTTCTAAATCCATTGCTGACAAATTCTCTCGTAAATGTGTTGTTTCCTGGTTTTAATTCATACCATGTTGTGTCCTGAATATATGTGCAATTCCTACAAAATACGTAGTTAAAAGAAAACACGGAATCCATGTGAATAAATAATATGCATACTTTTATTTTATAGGTCGTTTTCACTGGTTTACACCAGCACAGGGTATGTACCAAATTAAGCGTTACAGTTCAACACGGGGGTACGGTATAACGCATATTCAATTTCCTTGTGTTGTACCTTACCGTTCACGCGTTATGCCGTATACTACATTCGGAGTTTGTGTAGGTTTAATTATGAAATTCACCGCCAAGTTCACTGTCTAGGGTGTTGTTACAGACATTTACATATAAAAATTTCTAGGAGCTAGACCACATCTTTCTGAAACGATGAAAACATCTGTTTGCTCACATTTCATCACAATAGTATAGTTTCTAAATAGCTAAATAAAGCTGAATAAAGCTGACATAATATATGTCACCTTTGTTCATCTTGGGCCAACCTTCCATTGAGTTCTATGCTAAAAGCTTGCAATAGTCACTTAATTTGATGATTTATCAAAGAGTGTTAGTTAAATTTGTCTGAAATTTGAATGACATACTATTAAATGACCCTGTCAATGAACATATTGTGATTAAACATGAAAATGTTGGTTGTCATACGATTAAACCATGGTTTTAAAGATTTTTAGCATAACATCAATGGAGATTTGGCCCAAGTTTTTTTTAAATGTCATGGAGAATGATTTAAATGACATAAATGTGTAAATCAAAGGTATTATTGTAGGAAACATATCACTGAATTTAAATATGCTATTAAAAAGAAAGAAAAGTAAGTCATTAGAGGTAAAATGTGCAAATCTCTTAAAATCTCATGAAAAAACGAGAATTAGCGAGATTTCAAAATCATTTAGAAACTCCTCTATTGTATTGTACCGTACCCCGCGCGTTCAACGGTCCCGCTTAATTTGGTACGTACCCTGTGATCAGTATGAGACTAAATAGAGTCCAACATGATGGACAAAATCCGTAAGATATTGATAAACCTTCGATTATATTGTATTTTGCCATAAACTAACATAGTTCTGATTGTAACAATTACTGAGACGTCTCCAAAATTAGACTAACCTTTATAATAGGAATACTTCAATTCTAAATATAAGCTCGTTAGAAACATTACCTCATCGCATATTAAAATCATGCATGTATCATAACAAAATTGGACTATTTTCTCTATGGTACAATATCCTCTTTAAAATTAGTTTTACTCACAACTGAGCACTGGCAGCTGCCACAAACAATCCAAATACGAGAACGTAAGTCAACATGATTTATTTGGAACTGAAACGAAATAATGATAAGAAAGAGGTCGTATTTAAAATATTACATTACACAATACATCCTGATCAATTCAGTTCTCACAATCAAGTGTACATTTGGACTGCGTTTTTGAACTGCCCGCGTTGCAAATTTCATGCTCACAAGTTCAACAAAAACAGTTCATCCAAGCGCCCTTAAACCGCTAATTACGCTGTGGCAGCCTTGATCGCTGCTCGCTTACTATTAGCTTACCGCATCTGCTCGTTGCTAGTGCACCACAGGAGTTCCACTGCAATCGACCATTGTATTTTTCAAAGAAATTATGTGAGTGTATGTGCGCTTGGGTTAGCTATTTTTGTTGAAAACACAGGAGAATATGTTGCATGGCTTATTGTTCTTTTAGTGATACCTGCGGAGAAACCTCATTAAAATATTACGCAATTCACTAGCACCGTGAGCGTACAAAAATACAGTCTTAAAGTTTACCATTTTTGAGATATTAGCTAATACGTGAACTATAGATATTTGTTTGCCTGTTTCAAATAAATTGTATGAGTACGAATGACTAGTTTATATTTCTCTAGTTTATGAATTATTGAAATTGCTAAAACTAGTTTAATGTCCCTTATATCAAAGTAATAACTAGTTCATTAAACCATATGTATATAAATGTATTTAGATTAGATTTTAATTTTTGTATTGCTGTTTGACAAGTTTTCAGTGCTAGAAGTAAAGTATACAAAGTACTGCACTTACCGGTAATCAGAAAGAAACATATACGACGCTTACGTTTTATACGAAAAAGGTGCAATAGCAAAACATATGCCAAATTCCCATGTATAGAAAGTCAAGCATCAAGTTCGGCAAGTACAATACCACACGGTGAAGGCCATTCTTGATGCATGTACTGATATCGCACCACACTTTTTTTAAATGGTTGATAGGCCTCTGGCTATTCAAAGCAGGGTGGATCGCTTCGCTGTTATTTCAGTTGGCGATTTAATCGACGAACTCCAAAACTTTGAATTTGCATCTGTAAAGGAGAGCTAAAACAATTGCAAATATGTTGTCAACTTTTGATTTTAACTTATGATTAAAACACGTAGAAAGGGGAAAGGAGTGTAAACTGCTTGGACGAATCTTCATAAAGCAATCCAAACTTTCTTTTCTGAAAAATTAAGGGAGTGTCTAAATCTATTCAGTACGCATCCACTTTCTCAATTTGTGTCTGATATACAAAAAAAATGGAGGATAATCTTGAAATAAACATTTGAACTTTTCGAGTTTTTACAAGTAACAATGTTATGAGGTCATTATGATTTATTATCAAAGATTAAACAATCGACCAATTTTCTTCAAATTTTAATATAGACATATAACGTTCAGCAGCAATTCTCTGACTTGTAAGTGATGTTAGAGTCTTTTTGAATATGTCATAAAATCAAAGTTTGACATTTAAGTGTCAATATCGAGGTCCTTGTTTTGACGTATGTAATTTTTCGAATCCATTTGTTTTCATCTTTTCATGATTCCCATTCTTCATTCACCACAGGGGCTGTACCAAATTAAACAAGGCAGTTGAACGCGCGGGGTAAGGTAATGTTTTAGAAAGATCTGGTCTAGTTTCTAGATGTTTGTATCATCAAGATAACGCTGAAAAAAGAAAGCATGTTGTATTCTTTTTTAAATAGAGTGGCACATTTTCTTACAAGTCTCATTTAGTAAACTAAGTTCATGTAACGTTTTCAAAAAGCTATTAAACGCTCAGGGTATGTGCGTCAAACCCAGAAACGGAAAACGCAAACCACCTTAACGCAGATAAATGCATTTAGATCAGCATAGATCAGCATAAGAGAGAAAGCGATTATTTTGATTCACTTGAAAAAAAGTAAAAGCAGGCGACGAAGCAAATGATAAAAAGATACAAGAGCACCAAAATGGTCTATCATAATGAGTAGTAGAGCTCGAGTAGAGCAGACGTGTATTATGGCAGCTCCGCCCGATACCGATCACATTGAAAGGATTCTGTCAAGATTATCAGAAGAAGACAGAGACACTATTATCAATGAGTTCCTGGAAGTAACCACGCCTGAGGATTACGAACCATTGAGGATTCTGTATTTTGGATATGCGAAAGAAAGATTATTCAACATTTACTTGGACAAATTCGGCCCCATTGCTGGACGAAAGCAAAACGAAATTCCGATTTTGACACTAAAAGCACGGAAGGGAGCGAATAAGGATGTCTCGTTTTTGAATGACATTTGTGATCTATATATGTATGGTTCGAACATTTCGGACACTTTCCCACGTCAGACGATCTCTGCGACAAGTTTTCTACCGAATCTGGGTTCTTCTGAAGCTGATACAATCACAGATCAGTCGACGCGCTCAATTGAGATCGACACACGGGTTGTTTGTCTTAGCCAGCGGGTAAGTGAATTGGAACGTATGGGAGACTCGAAGGATGAGCAGATATCAAAGATGCAGAAGGATATCGTAGAGCTTCAGCAACAGGTACAAAGGTTGCTACAAGCAGGTCAGTGTGACTTTTCTAAACGTACACAAACAAGCGCTACTGTAACTGTACCAACGCAAACTTCATCCACGCTAAATTCTAAGCAGGCCAATAATGAGACCAATAATTCGACTAACACGCCAATAACTGTTTCACACCTCAATAACAATACTTTGCCTATAAGCGACCCCGCTAATAAGCAAAACTCACTACGTAAGCCTACTGAGCCATGCGAGTCTGTCGCTATACCGCCATCTTTGAAAATCGCCTCACAACCGCCGTCTGCAAAGTCAGTGCAACCAGTGCCTAATGTAACGAAACCTATCACTTATTCTAGCGTAGTAAGTGAAAACATAGATGATTGGTCCATTGCTGGCCCTAAAGGTCGCCACCCAGCTAACAATTTTACGTTGTGATAACGTCGTCAGAATATATGTCTCAAGTTGTAGCAACGTTAATATGGAACGTTGTAGGTACAGGAAGGTGTGGACTCGCACAGATGTTTAAAGAACGTTACATTTGACTTAAATATCACGTGTCAGGAACGTAGTAGCGACCTTAACAATTACGTCGCCAAAATAACGAAACTGTAACGTACTTACATTACGTCATATATACGTGGCCAATCTAAATTTCTGGTAACGTTGATATGGAACGTTGTAGGTACAGGAAGGTGTGGACTCGCATAGATGTTTAAAGAACGTTACATTTGACTTAAATATCACGTGTCAGGAACGTAGTAGCGACCTTAACAATTACGTCACCAAAATAACGAAAATGTAACGTACTTACATTACGTCATAAATACGTGGCCAATCTAAATTTCTGGTAACGTTGATATGGAACGTTGTAGGTACAGGAAGGTGTGGACTCGCACAGATGTTTAAAGAACGTTACATTTGACTTAAATATCACGTGTCAGGAACGTAGTAGCGACCTTAACAATTACGTCGCCAAAATAACGAAACTGTAACGTACTTACATTACGTAATATATACGTGGCCAATCTAAATTTCTGGTAACGTTGATATGGAACGTTGTAGGTACAGGAAGGTGTGGACTCGCATAGATGTTTAAAGAACGTTACATTTGACTTAAATATCACGTGTCAGGAACGTAGTAGCGACCTTAACAATTACGTCACCAAAATAACGAAAATGTAACGTACTTACATTACGTCATAAATACGTGGCCAATCTAAATTTCTGGTAACGTTGATATGGAACGTTGTAGGTACAGGAAGGTGTGGACTCGCACAGATGTTTAAAGAACGTTACATTCGACTTAAATATCACGTGTCAGGAACGTAGTAGCGACCTTAACAATTACGTCGCCAAAATAACGAAACTTTAACGTACTTACATTACGTCATATATACGTGGCCAATCTAAATTTCTGGTAACGTTGATATGGAACGTTGTAGGTACAGGAAGGTGTGGACTCGCATAGATGTTTAAAGAACGTTACATTTCACTTAAATATCACGTGTCAGGAACGTAGTAGCGACCTTAACAATTACGTCACCAAAATAACGAAAATGTAACGTACTTACATTACGTCATAAATACGTGGCCAATCTAAATTTCTAGTAACGTTGATATGGAACGTTGTAGGCACAGGAAGGTGTGGACTCGCACAGATGTTTAAAGAACGTTACATTTGACTTAAATATCACGTGTCAGGAACGTAGTAGCGACCTTAACAATAACGTCGCCAAAATAACGAAACTGTAACGTGCTTACATTACGTCATATATACGTGGCCAATCTAAATTTCTGGTAACGTTGATATGGAACGTTGTAGGTACGGGAAGGTGTGGACTCGCATAGATGTTTAAAAAACGTTACATTTGACTTAAATATCACGTGTCAGGAACGTAGTAGCGACCTTAACAATTACGTCACCAAAATAACGAAAATGTAACGTACTTACATTACGTCATAAATACGTGGCCAATCTAAATTTCTAGTAACGTTGATATGGAACGTTGTAGGTACAGGAAGGTGTGGACTCGCACAGATGTCTAAAAAACGTTACATTTGACTTAAATATCACGTGTCAGGAACGTAGTAGCGACCTTAACAATTACGTCGCCAAAATAACGAAACTGTAACGTACTTACATTACGTCATATATACGTGGCCAATCTAAATTTCTGGTAACGTTGATATGGAACGTTGTAGGTACAGGAAGGTGTGGACTCGCATAGATGTTTAAAGAACGTTACATTTGACTTAAATATCACGTGTCAGGAACGTAGTAGTGACCTTAACAATTATGTCACCAAAATAACGAAAATGTAACGTACTTACATTACGTCATAAATACGTGGCCAATCTAAATTTCTGGTAACGTTGATATGGAACGTTGTAGGTACAGGAAGGTGTGGACTCGCACAGATGTTTAAAGAACGTTACATTTGACTTAAATATCACGTGCCAGGAACGAAGAACCAACCTAAACGATGACTTCGCCAAAATAACGAAAATGTAACGAACTTACAT